TCCGTTTTAATTAATATAATCCATTATTTCTGTTATTTAAGCAGTCATTTTTTGTTTGTTTCCGAAAGTAGTCCAATTAATAATTTATTTTTTATTTACTTAAATAATTTATATGGCCGCTCATCCCACACAGGTAACTAACTCTCAATGGTGCATTAGAAACAATTAAAAACAATAACCTATTTAAGCCTAAGGTAAATGATGACTTCCAATCATAAAATGACATCAACAACAGAGTTTGCTTAAACTCCTGAGGAACAGACAGGTCATCATCATCATCATCATCATCATCAATTAAATTTATATTACATTTATATAAAATGTATATGCTGCCTGACTCCTAGTGATTCTGCGTGGTCTTCAGTGTCTTATGAAAGGCTACCAGGATCAGGGCTATCTGGATCTTTAGGAGAATTCTGTTCCATGAGGCAGGGACTGCCACAGATAAGGTATGTCTCTGGGTGATATTGTTGAATAAAGGGGCCTTTCTGCCAGATCTGGTGGATTGAGCAGAAATAATAGAAACAAAAAAACAATTAGCTATTTCTTGGATAATTACATAATTGACCACAACTCTGAAAAATACTTCAGCTCTTGTTACCTAACAAAAAGTATTTTCCCCTTCTTCACAATCGGCATTCTGTTACTGGTAGAATTTCCTGGCTTGCTTTCCTTCAGCAGCCATAAAGCACAACCTGTTTTATGATATCGTAACACTGTTTTTGCTAGAGTTACCTGCCTCTAATAGTACAGTGATTGCATTATGTTACTGTTCTGGTTGGAATAACATCCTGTGTAATGCATGGGTCAAACCAGAACTGCATGTCTTAGTAGTTAGAAAGTTCTACTGTCTGACTTTGGATTTATGATTCAGGTCTAGGGTTTTATTATTATTATTATGATTTGGCTCTTAGGATTGGGTTGCTGACGGGTCAGAAAGCTTCATCTTTCAAAAGCTGGGTCATTTGTTATAAAAACCTGATTTATTTTCAGGCCTCGGGTTTTTCATTAGTTACCCTGAGCTAGTATACTGAAACAGCATTTTCTTTTCTGTTGATGGTGTGGCTCAGGGAGGTATAAACCTGCCTCTCAACTTCTTAATATTGTTTAGAAGCGACACTGATTTCCTTGTTGCAATGGTCATGTAAAACTGTCATGACAAAGGGCACTTGTCCTGTGGTGGTTGTGGTTTGTTGCTACATAAAACTCAAGTCCTCCCTAGCGCAGTAGTAAATTTTCTTAGGAAAGGTTTTTGGCAGAGTACATTTGAGAACTAAATACTGAAGCTACAAACTAGGAAAAATCTTGGATCTTTGCAATGAAAATATTTCTGTACCACAATTACTGCCTTTCTCTTCCTAACATTACAGAAAAATAAAATGGCCCTGAAATTATTTGCAAAGAAACTGTCAAACAAGGTGTCCTTCGATGTTTTCATATTTTATGTATTTGTTTATTTAGATTACAGGATGCTCGACTCCTCAATTACTCTGGGTGGCTTACTTAAACAAAATAGATAAAAATGGAACCCAGCAAAATAGCAGAAATACCAAAACCAAATCAAAACAGATCATCTCCAAATAAAACAAAACAAAGGGGGAAAAGGATGGGGGTTTGTGTGTGCCACAATAACTCTGAGTCCTCAAGAAGAATAACTAGATTTTTGATAATTTCCTAAATGACTTGAGGGTGGGAACCACATACATTCCAGAGGGCAGGAATTGCAACAGAGAAAGCATACTTTCTGCATCCTGAAAGATGACGTTCTTTAATCAATGGGAGTACATCCAGTCTACTGGACCAAACTGGATGGGCAAAAACCACTGGAGATAAGTGGTCCTTCTGATAGCCTGCCCCATGAAGGGCTTTAAAGGTGCATGGCACACTGAAACCAGTGAAACCAGTGAAAAAGCAGCAAGCTTATATGTGTCTAATACAGTGCATCCCTCATTGCTGTTCTGCTGTGTTCTGGACTCGCTGTAAGTTCTGTATGGTCCTTCAAAAGCAGCCTCATGTGTGCATTGCAGTAGTCCAAATGTGAGGCAAACAGGGCATGAATGAATTTCTGAAGGTCCTCCCAGCACAGGAACCCCGCAACTGGCACACCAGATGTCCTTGCGTAAAACACTCTACTCACATCTTCCACCTGCTTTATGAGCAGGAATTGAGAGTCTAAAAGGACCCCAAGATTGTGATAAGTCTGAAATGGGAAAATGCAACCCTTCTGAGAGTCAACAATAGAATTTTTCCAGATCTGGTGGAGCCTAAAACACAACATATTTATGGAGAAATATATTGTATTCTTCTCCCAATTTTAAGTTTCCCTAGCTTGCTTGCTGACATGTGATGAGCATTGTATTTATTTTCAATAACTCAGTGAATGATGATAAATGAAAAACAATATGACTGGCTTGATTAAATCATTCATTTTTACTAGGGATTGATTCTTTTCATGTAACTTGAGGGACCTTTTTTCTCCATAGCATATATTTTGATAGATATGTGTGACCATGCAAATGTTGTTAGTTTTCATCCAGAGCATCCTTATTTCATTGACTGTAATGCGCACATTGTTTTGGACTAGTGACTTGGTAACATCTTATCTCTGGAGTAGTGACAGATCACTTATCTTACTTGATAGCAAACCCTATTTATGTAATGGATTTTAGATTCAGGTCTTTTTTGATAGAAAGGAGACTCTTGGCATGTATACATACATGCACACAGATACACTTATGTGACAAAACTGCAACTTATAGTACTTGCATGGTATTTACCATTGTTAAAAAAAATCTATAATGAATTACCCAGAAAAAGATGATATTGAATCATTCTAAAGGTAATCTTTAGGAAAGATGGTGCTTCCACCTGTGAAGCAGTATCCCACTGTTGTCATCTTGAATTATAATACAAGTTTGTTCTATTTTGTTTTCAGCCAAGAAAAGATTTGCAGTTGCCTGTGTAAAATATGAAAAAGGACTAGACATTGAATTATTTAACTCCCCCCTCACTCCCCCCCCAAAATCTCTGTTTCATATGAGTCAACATGCTACAATTAACAAGCTGAACTGCTTGGTGGAAAGAACAAAAGAACTGGTTGAGCCTTTCTTACTCCATGACCCTTCCCTTCCTCATGTCCAACCTAGACCTAGGCCAAACATTGAGAATTTCAGGGCGGAAACCAGATTTCCCTGTTTTTCCTGTGGCTTCTTCATGTGAAAGCTATCAACATCAAAGGATTTCCATGTGAGTAGGAAAGAGAAAGGACAGGATTCTTTGTTTTTTTGTTTTGTTTTTATGTTGTATTCCCACTTTTTTCACAAAAAGGGGGAAAAGAACATTTGTAACTGTTAAACAGTTTAACGTGGGGGAGAGAGTTGAAACACCATCCATAATAAATATTGAGATTTTGAGTATGATATCTGTGTGGTGTCTATTTCCTTGGCCACTGAACAGCAGTTGCAAACTAAGTGTTTGAACAGAGATAACAGGAGGAGGCCTGTTTCCATCTGCTTGCAATTTAAGAGCACATGCAAATGTTCTCCTTTGTACTTTTAGGTAGGGATACATAATGGAATTGCAAGCTTCATTCTCTACATGTATAAATTCCCTTCATCCTCCAATAGCATGACTGGGGATTATGTTATCTTTGCTAGTGCCAGTTAAGGGACTAGCAAAGATAAAATAACCTCTAATTCAGAATAGAGATCAATGGATTTATGTAAACAGAACACATTTTTCAGTGTGGAATGAAATATGAATGTTTTTGCTTGTTCTGTTCAATCTGTCAAAAAAGGCATGGAAAAATGTATAGGGGGTATGAATTTTAGCCAGTCTTGTTGCTATATTTGTTTTATTTGCCAACATATTTTTGTGCCACTCTAGTCAATAACTCTGGGCAACTCATTCAGTTTACTCGGTACAAGTCTAGAAATCAGATCTGTCTGTATTAATCTCTCATGCAAGGATAATATTAGTCAAATATTTAGATGAGCATTTAGATGAGAATCAGCATAAGGAAGTATGGGTTGTATGAATAAATGAAATAAGTTTAAATCCAAACAATGGCAACGAGTATTTTATAAATCTATATTTTAGTGGAAGTAGAACATTTTTGGCTATTTGAATAAAGTTAGGATTTGGGTTGGTCAAGCAGAAATGCTGCATTTGTGTGTGTCAGTATCAGCATCAGGAATATCTATTGATATACACAATAATATGCAGTGATACACACACACACACACACACACACACAGCTTATTCATGTGATTTTATCATGTGGTTAGGATTATAACATCACTGTGTGAATTCTTACTCCTTTAGGACTGGGGAGAAAGGAGCTGTAAATCCTTTTGTTTGCTATCAATTGATATACTCAGAAAAATTTCCATTTACCAAAAGTTATCTATTGAGCAAATGATGTACTTGCCTTGTATCACTATCCCGCAATAGTACAATTAAATTGTTGGGTTCTTGTTGTTTTCTGAAGTTGGTATTACCAAACTAGGTGGCATCAATTTATCATTGATATATTTATCATTGATGGAAAGATTTGAATGCTTAAAGTTTAATTACTCCTTTAATGTCCCACTTAAACTACAGTCCTGGGTATTTTATTGACACAAAGGGCATATCTGGCTCTTCAGCTCTCCCTGTCATGCCTGCAGTGTTGGCAGCATTAGCAGCATTGCTGGTGGGTTGGGGCATTGATGTGGTGTGCAGGCCATCAGTGGAGCATTGGTGGAGGTGGGGTGGCATCCCTCCACAACAAGTCGAGTTTCTCATATGACTCCTTGGGAAAATTAATTGCCCACCACTGCTATAACCTGTGAACATTTACATGGCTGGTTGACGATCACTGTTTTATAGGATCAAAGCTAATCCTTTTTATCTGCGGCTTCAGGAATGTTGAAAGCACATGTTTATCCAGATTTTTTCTTTACAGCAGATCTTGGAAACTTACTATATATTCAGCTTTGTGTTTTCATTTTGTGTTGCAGAGTAAGGAAATTGGTCTTCAGATGCATGAAGAACTCTTGAAGGTTACAAATGAACTCTACACTGTGAGTAATTTTACCCTGGGACTTGTGTCTTAACATTTAGGAATAAATATACATGATGACGTGTGTGTGTGTGTGTGTGTGTTGTGTGTATGGTCTACTAATGTAGAGTTAGTATGATCATTTTTGAAAATTTCCAGATGTATTTCAAGTAATTAGGATTCATCAGGGAAAAGGATGCTATTTATACCAGAATTGAATTTCAATCCTTAAAACAGATTTTCTTAAATATGATTTGTAGATCAGTATGAAATTGCATAATTTATTATAGTAAAAGATGGGGAGTGATGATTTTTTTTTTTTTTTGGCTTTATTTTTCCAGAAGATTTTTCTGGGCCAATTTTTTTTCCATTATAGCTTTTCTGATGTTCTGGCACTTAGTAACAATACAATAATATTTTTCTTTTTTTTAAATAGCTCTTCTGACATGTTTATAATTTGGTCTACCATTGTCTGTCCTTAATTTTAAAAAGTTGTAAACATCCTTCCTCCTACTCAAACCATATTGGTTAGTTATTATCAGTGCTAGTTTGTTGCTATTCAAAATTAGGTTTCTCAGAGTGGCTTGTAATACAGGTAGTCCTCAATTTATGACCACAATTAAGCCAGGAATGAAATTCAAAATTTTCCCCTAACGGCTCTGTGGGCGTGGCTTGGTATAATAGTAATAGCAATCATCCCTACCACCTCTCCCGAGATGGGCTGAGATGGTTGAATTTCACTCCTGAATTAAGCCCAAACTTTATGTTGCTAAGTGAGAAATTTGTTAAATGAGTTTTGCCCCATTTTATGACTTTTTTTGCCACACTTGTTAAGTGAATCACTGTAGTTGTCAAATTAGTAACATGGTTGTTCAGTGAATCTAGTTTCCCCACTGACTTTGCTGGTCAGAAGGTCTCAAAAGATGATCACATGACTCCGGAACACTGCAACCATCATAAATATGAGTCAGTTGTCAAGCATCCAAATATAAATCACACTGCAATAATGTAATAGATTATAATTCAAATCAACTTTCTAATCCAGTATGGACTTGAAAATGTGTGGACTTTCCAGAGTAATCTTCAAATTGTGTGGACTTCCCAGAGTAATCAACTCCCAGAATTTCCCAGCCATCTCTATCTGGTTGGAAAGTTCTGCAAGTTGAAATCCATACATTTTCAAGTTGACAAGATTCAGAAACACTGGTCTAATCTAAAATGAAAAGACCCCAGAGCAGAGTCCAAATGTCAGCTAAGGCACATCCAGCCAAACCTTTTAGAACATTGATTGAATTCCAGTTGACAAGTGAGTAGATAGTTACATAACATGAGGTGCTCTAAGCCAAAGATGTCCTGGGTTTTTGTTTTTTTTAGTGAAGGATTCTGTCATAATCTACTGCAGCATAAAACAAAAACGCACTTACAAAATTTCTGTGCAGTTATTTTAAAATGTTCACCATTTGTATTCTTTCTTTAATTTTATTGTATACCCAATTGTCTTGTCTACTGTATGGAATACTTTAATAAGACATCTTGCTATCCCTGATGTTGTTTTGAAAATAAAGCTTGTGAAGTATTCGAAAAGGCTAATGAGCCTTACAAACCTACAAACTGCTGAAAAAATAGTAGGAAATTATGCCTCCATTTATTGTAGTTTCTAGTTCAGTTTGAGAAAAAACATTTTGGGAAGATTGATTTACTCCCTACATTTACCCCAAAATAATGGATTCAAGAATCATATGTATTCTGAGGATCATGGATAATGTAATGCTTTTCTGAGGCTTTAAAGATTAAACCTATTACTTTCAACTGACTTTGGATAGCAGCCAGGGAAGATGATGCCATGTTCCCTATAATAGTGAAATTACATAGCCGATACAGCCTCAGTTAATAACTTGATGAGTGCCATTTTTTAAAGGGAAGATTCTGGTTGACCAAGGCAATTCCACATAAAGTGTATCACAGTTGACTAATGAGGATGTTACTAGAGTCTGAATGTCTAGTCTAGCCTTACATCTTCTTTTCTCATTTGTACTTAATGTGCATCACCAAGACTGGCATGGCACACAAAACCTGCAAAATAAATAAATATAATATTCTTTAAGTCTGTGAGCCACGGGTTTGTTAATAACTTTTTATTCCGGAGTTCTTAAAAATAACAAATATCCATGTAGAACAAAGTCCGCATAGAAGATGGTGAACTTCTTCCCATATGTGTACAGAGAGGAGCTATAATGGATTGGAAAAGTGCAACCTTTGTATTTGTGTTATGTATTTGAAAGGTACCAAAGCTTGAGAAGATACAGGTTCTTCCTAGATAATACATTTACAGCTATTTAGACAAAAACAGGAAACCCTGTATATTCTCCATCTTTTTAGTTGTTAAGTCAGAGGCAAGGAAGGCTGGAGGGTATGCATGTGTATTGCTGACTTGCTGACACTGCTGGAAAGAGGGGCGTGTTAGAGAAGGAGATAAAATGTATCAGTTTGTTTAAAGAAGACTTGTCCAAGAAGAAAACAACATTGGACAGCAAGGACAAGAGCTGAATTATTATGGGACTGACACAAATAGGCAGAGTCAGCTGAGAGCAAGGAAAGGAGAATCAGTCTACAGTCTGAGATAAATTGAGGTGAACTATACTTCCAAGTGACTCACTCATATATAATGTTCAAAAGAAATTGGTCTTCTGTAGCATGAATGGATAGGCTAAGGCTAGTAAAGAGTACTGTGAAAATGAGAGAAAAGTTTTAAAAGACTTCCCAGAATTAAAGGAGAATCGGAAATAAAAGCAGAGATTACATATTATTTGAGCTCAGTCCATCAAGCTGAGAGAAACATTGAAAACTCTGTAAATAAGATAGTAGGCTTATAGGGAGATACCTGGTGTATAGATTAAATTAAATATAAAAATAGGATTACGTCTTCATATTTGTGAGATTTAAGCACTGCCTGTTCATCTGTGGAGCAATAATGGCATTTTTTAAAAGATGAAACCTGTACCTATTCATCTGTCCTGCTTGGGAGAGAACAATTCAAATGGAACCTGTGACAAGGCACATTAATGATACTTTTTAATTGTTTATATAAAAACAGTTTAGAAAAAGATTAATGATGAAAGGCACTAAACTGATTTAAAGTATTAATATTGCTCCTTGCCCATGACCTACCTTTCTAAATTATTCTCCTACAGTTTCAAACTAAGCTTGTCAGAGAATGTAAGTTTATCATGTGAATAAGGGTCAGTATATTTGGTGATGACCTTTGATAAAAACAGATTTTGCAAGATAAATGACTGAAGATAATAATCTCTGCAGTCTACATGTCAGGGTTGCAATCAATATTTGCAAATTAGCATTTAACAAAAAAAATGGAGGATAGATTGCACAGGCAGCAATCTATCCTTATTTGTCTTTAAAAAAATCAGTTACGGAAGCTTCACTGAAGAAGGCTGAAAAAACTTTATTTAAAAAAATTATAATACTAAACCTTTAATAATAGTGGGACAGAGAAACATTATTGTACTACTAAATGGGCTAAGAATCTGGATCAGGACTTTTCTTGTTTTTATAGATTTTTCAATATCTATAATTTCTTTTAGCCACTTGTTCATATGAAATCTTAGGAAGTGCTATTTTATATAAAAATGATTAATTTTACTCGATTATATTGAACTCAGTATTATAAAATCATGGGTATTTTTTCAAAAGCTGATTTATTGAGTCAGAAGAGTTAAATACTTTATCCTTGATGTCTTTAATAGTAGAGATAATGGTTAGTAATTTACCATGTCTTTGATCTCACTTGCTAAATCTTTGCTTTATATGGCTATTCTGTTTCAAGTATAAAAGAGAATTAGGTTCCTGTTTAATATTCATAAAGGCATATAATTCTGATGTACTTTGTCTTGCATGTGTACTCAAAATTTTCTTAACATTTTGCCCACATTTCTTGTTTAATTTTCTGAATTTATTTCCCACGAACATAAGCAGTTAGCTGTATATATTCAAATAAGTAAGCAATTCACAGAATGTCTATTTATAAAGGGACAAATGGTCTTCCAGTTGTTATCTATTTTAGAAAAAAAATCATTTATGAATAATATATTTAAATAACTTATAAAAGAATGGGATTGGTTTTTTATAGTAACTGATAATTTACACACACACACACACACAAAACACTGTACGGTACATGTGTTAATGATGAGCAATGCCTATATTATATTTATTAATTCATCCAAGTAATAAAGAGCAGAAAAAAAAATCCAGTCAAGAACTACTTTGATGTGAAAGTGAAGAAAAAACATGTTTCTGTTGTGAAAGATTTAAAATTCACTACATCCACCAAATTAAAACCCAGTGTATGTCAACTCATAAAATATTTCTATGGTCATTGTAGAATTGCCAACAGAAAGAGAGGGGGGAAAGGGGTTTGAAAGACCAGTGCGGCAGCTTGGAAATTGAAAGTGCATTCCATACATAGTTTTTCAGAGATAGTAACTAGGTGACTGAAGTTTCTGCCACGCAAAAATCTAACTGGAGAACATGATTGATGACTCTTGATTATGGATGTGTCTCATTGGAGAATATGAATTATGATGCACCCAGAGGATATGGGAAAACCAGGGTCAAGGGTGACAATGAATTTTGTGTCCCAGAGTTGGCTATACTCAGGCAGTGCCGGATATGTTAACTCCCAATAAATCCTTTGAAGTTTTGGAAGTTTGGCTTGAGACTCATGATTTAATTGGGGTAACTGCCGGAATCCTGACAGTGTCAAAGTTTGCAGTATTTTTCATGTATGAGAGTTATGTTCAGGTTAAGTGGTATTCCAGACTAATAAGGATTTAGAATTTGATTGAAATATTTAACAATATTTATCTGATACACATCTGAAGTTGAAAACATCCATATAATTAAAAAAAAAGTTCTCCCCCCCACTCTTTTTCATACACATACTCACGAAAAACATCTACATAATCTATATGGAAAAATAGGGTCCCTTTAACGGTCATAATGCATTTATTAAAACCCTAATCATAGTATTTAAAAAAATTCTAGGGTCTCTTATTTCTTGTACCACCACAGATTCTGAGCACTTATTAGCTAGCCAAAATTAATACACCTCCATTAACTTTTGAATGAAAGATGTGTGCCACCGGTTGTTCTTTCCTCATCTTAGGTGATGAAGACTTATCACATGTATCATGCTGAGAGCATCAGTGCTGAGAGCAAGCTAAAGGAAGCGGAGAAGCAGGAAGAGAAGCAGTTCAACAAAGCAGGAGACATCAGCGTGAATCTGCTGCGGCTTGAAGATAGGCCTCAGCGCCGCAGTTCTGTTAAGAAGATTGAGAAGATGAAGGAGAAGGTGAGTAGGATGACATGCTTTCCATGTGGCTGGCTATTGGCAAAATGAACAGAGGAATATATTGTCAGGATGCAGCTGAGTATCAAATATTTGTAGTTCTGATCTCACCTATTTCAGTATTGATCTTGGATGATGAAAATATCCTGTAGACTCATAGATTAAAGGAGAATAATAAAGTATGGTGTCTAGTGGATTGTGAACAATATAGCAGTGAATGAGGAAATATAATACAGTGTTCTACAATACAATAGATGTAACAATCTGTGTAAATCCTTAATTTTATTGATTAAATTGTACACACTGCTCTGAGGAAGATTGGTGATTAAGAAGTGTGAAAAATAAATAAATGTAATTAATCAGATTATTTATTTATTTATTTATTTATTTGATTTGATTTGCCAATTGTTTACAAGATAATAAGTATAAGTGTATACATAGTTGTGAATACATGAAATGGGTACATATAAGAAAAATAAAAGAATAAGAGAAACAATAGGACAGGGACGGTAGGCACGATGGTGCGCTTATGCACGCCCCCTACATGCAGTTTATTATCATAAATTGCATGTAATTGACCACAGGCAGCAAAGTGTCTGGAACAGCCAGTATAACATAGTGGTTAAGATGTTAGCTTGCTACTGCAGGAAGACAAATTAAGGTCTCCCTTTGGTCATGAACATGTATTGTGTGGCTTTGTGCTATTTTTTTTTTCTCCCTCTATGTCAGCCTAACTAATCTCATAGGGTTTGGGGGAGATAAAATTAGAGGTAGGTGTGTGGGTCATATTGTGTTTCCAAGGAAAGCTTGGATATAAATCTAAGAAATAATAATAACAAATGATTGTTGGTTCTAGGGACCTTGGCCTAAGAAAAACCTTAAAAGCTATTTTGCTTCTGTTGGAATTTTTTTTTTGCTTTTATCTCTCTCTCTCAAGGTTTTCTCCCTGACAGGTTGTTCTTTTCAATTCTCCTTAACAGTTCAGCACATCAGACCTTGATGAGGTAATGTACCCCTCTCTGTGGAAGTGCTCCACAATTTGCCCCCAGGCTCTCCTTCCTGTTGAATGGTGCCTGCCTGACTCAAAGCTCCTGCTACGTGTTGTCTTTCTGGCACTTTTCCACAGCTAACAGGCAGTAAAGAGAGCAGCTAATATATAGCAGTCTCAAGATCTTAAGTGAAAATGCACAGAAGAATTCAGGCAGGCAGGCAGGCAGGCAGCATTCCAGCAATCCAGATTTAGTGAGAGTAACAGATGTGCAGTTGACTATTTAAAAAAAATCATGAGCCTTGGACTTGAGGAACATTCTCAGTTTGGGAACTCTTTTTCCCCCCTTAGCTAGCCTGGTTGAAAACTACAGACTAATCTCACTGTGTTGTGTCACGTGCAAAATCATGAAATCAATCATTAACCAATTCATAACTCTCCACTTAGAGTCAAACAACCTACTCTCCCCAAAACAATTTGGTTTCAGGAAAAAAATTGTCCTGCAACCTACAACTCCTACACTGCAAAAACATATGGACTACTCTACTCGACCAGGGTAAAGCAATTTACATAGACTTCTGCAAAGCCTTTGATTCAGTGGTACATGACAAACTACTGTTAAAACTAAACTCTTATGGCATTTCTGGATCCCTTCGTAAGTGGATTACGTCATTCCTGTCAAACAGGCAACAAATAGTAAAAATAGGGAGCACTATATCAAACCCTGCTCCAGTCAACAGTGGTGTCCCCCAAGGCAGTGTTTTAGGACCCACACTCTTTATACTCTATATAAATTACCTTTGCGATCACCTTATTAGCAACTGCGTCCTCTTCGCGGATGATGTAAAGCTATTCAACACCACCGACAATGCTACTGTTCTTCAAAGTGACCTTGATTATGTGTCTGAATGGTCAAACATTTGGCAACTCCAAATCTCGAGCAACAAATGCTCTGTCCTATACATTGGTAAAAAAAATCAATTCACCAAATACAAACTAGGCAGATATGACCTCGTTGATGACCCTCACTCTGTCAAGGACCTCGGAGTACTCATATCAAATTATCTAAGCACTAGAGCTCACTGTAACAGCATTGCCAAAAAGGCATTAAGAGTTGTACATCTAATCTTACGAAGCTTCTCCTCTGGAAATATTGAATTGCTAACTAGGGCATTCAAAACCTTTGCTAGACCAATACTTGAATACAGCTCATCTGTCTGGAATCCGCACTCTATATAGTCAGTAATACAATTGAGCGAGTCCAGAAGTATTTCACGATGAGAGTACTACACTCCTTTGCTCGCAACAGAATACCCTATACCACCAGGCTTGAAATTTTGGGTTTGGACAATCTTGAACTACGCCACCTACGATTGGAGTACACAAAATTATCTGCTACAATGTTCTACCAGTCAAGGACTACTTCAACTTCAACCGCAACAATACAAGAGCACACAACAGATACAAACTCAATGTTAACCACTCCAAACTTGATTGCAGAAAGTACGACTTCAGCAACAGAGTGGTCAATATCTGGAATGCACTACCTGACTCTGTTGTTACATCCTCTAACCCCCACTCCTTCAACCTCACACTGTCTACTCTTGACCTCACCCCATTCCTAAGAGGTCTGTAAGGGGCGTGCATAAGTGCACCATCGTGCCTCCCACCCCTGTCCTATTGTCCCCATTTATTTGTAACTATTTCCTGTATTCTTACTCATACTTATACTTATACCTATTATCTTGTAAGCGATTGACAAATCAAATAAATAAATCAAATAATAAATAAATATTATATCCCTACTTCTCCAACCAGAGGAATAGGAAACACCATATGTTAATGTGCACTTTCCCTCCCATGTTGCCAAACACAGTTAATCTTGAGAGAGCCACTGATTGTCTTTCGACTGAAGAGCAAAAGAAGAAACTTGTGCTGGGTTGTGGAGCATGCATGGCCATATGCTGTATTCTAAGTATGAATTAGAATATTTTCTTGGAGTTATGGACTTTCTGCTAAGGTTGGATTCTCTCTTGGATCTTCCATCTCTAATGAAGTTTCTCCCTGCTCTCCACATACTGTAAAAGCTTCAGCCCTTCAGATGGTGGGAGAAGTGGGATAGTCAACACAATATTCTGTTCAATATAATAATTCCTTGAAATTAAAATTAGAGACAGGTCTACAGAACTGTCCTAATGTAAATGGTGTCAAAAGTATCAAGAAGGTTGAAATTTCATGGTTGAACTACTACTTTATTGTGACCATCAAAGAAGTGGCTAGACATTTTAGTCAGTCTTCATAAAGATAAATTTGGGACATTTTTAAAGCTTATCAGATGTCTTTCTGAGAGCAGCATGGTAGCCTAGTGGTGAAGACAGTAGCCTCACATTTGGAAGGTTAAGAGTTCAATCCTGGTAGTGGCAGATGTTTCTTTCTCAGAGTGCAAAGAGAAAATATCTACTGCAAACTCCACATAGACATCAGGAATATATCTGGCCAGTAAACACTCAGCTCCATTGAGTTGTCCTGTCTGTACCCCAAATTAAGAGATTACAGGATCGTAAAAAGAAAAGAAAAATCAGATGACTTTGTGGCAATGACATTGTAGACAAAATAATGATCTAAGGCTGATAGTAATCCGCTATTATATCTAATAAGTTATGATTCACAATGCCTTCCCTTTTGCATCAGTTTTATTAGCAATAAAAAAAATATCCTTGGAAAATCTTAGTGTTACATAAACTATTTTAAAGGATTACCGCTATCTTCACACCGAAAAATAAAACAGGATTTTAAAATAGCCTTGCTTAGTATAAATAATTTGTATATGTAGCTTGTTTCCTTCTTTTTAATTTTGATATTTACTTTACTAGGCTTATGTGCTGCTGGAACCGATATTGACTCTGAACAGCTTGTACACCCAATATCTGTAATTAAAGTTAAAGCAACAGAGTAACAATTACATTAATAACAAAAATAAATACCTACATTTATATCATAATTAAAATACCATTAAACAAACACCTTACTGCAAGAGAGAGCAAACTCATAACACCACCTCTTCCAAGGTGGATTAATAATGAAAGCAGGAAGAGTTGCTTACAGTAAATGTGCTACCATGATCAGAAGTCAACTAGTTGGAGAAAACTGCTTTTGAGCCAATGTGTGAGAATCTAAGTTGGGATTCTGAATTAAGTTTGTTCTGTATCATGATCTGAATATTGCTTTGTAGCAATCTTCCTCATATTGATGCCTACAAAATCGGTTAGAACTCCCCAGTGACTTGTGATATTTGGAATTCAATTCCAATTTATCTGGAAAACATCAAATTAGGGTAAGCAGCTCTGGGGTGCCATCTTGCTAATGGCCAATCACAGTGAAAAGATTACGTCTATACACAGAGCAAGGGATCTTTTTTTTCACAGCTGTCTGCCTCGTCTTCCATAAAGAGATTAGGGAACTGTTGGTCAGATAGCTTTGCATATTCCTGAATCAGAATAATGTTTGTAAATGTTTTCCTATCTTAAAATTTCCTGTAAGTACCCCCCAAATAAAAACCTACCATTGCAAGAAGCAGATTGCATTACAGAAATAATATTCTATTCTATCTCCTACTCTGAATCATTCCTGCCTGAAATGATCTGAAATGATAATGTTCCCTCAGGATTCTATCTCTAATAGTAGATCATATGCCCTGCTAATTAACTGTTCCAATATAGATCCCTTTATCTCTATGAATGTCATTCTGGACAGAAATATGAAGGCTGGTTATTCAAAATATTTTCATTTCTTCTTAAAATAAAATATTTTTTAAAATTAAGTAAAATCAAATAAAGTGTCTCTCCTACACATGATTATCTATAATCGATCACAATGTCTATATAGTGAGTATGATTTTGAACGAAATAGTATCCTTATATTGCATTTTATATCATTTATTCAAATATCCCAAATGAGAATTAAACTAGTTAATTCTTCAGTGATAGAAGGTCTAGCAACTGCCTGTCTAGTATTGCAATTTTCTTGTCAAGTTTTTTTTGAAAGTGATTTGCCTCCTTCCTAGGGCAGAGAGAGAGTGACTGAGCCAAGTCGTTGTGCCTAAAGTGGGATTAGAACTCACGGTCCTCCAATTTCTAGCCTGATGATGTAACCACTATTGCAAACTATCTCCCCCCACCCAGGACTTTTATTCTCTTAATTGAAGTTATTCTTGCTGGCAATAAAATTTGATTTAATGAACAGCTTTATAGTATCAATTATGTGCTAACTAATTTATGAGAAGAATAGAATGTGTTCTTTTTAGAAGAGCCACTGATCAACCACTTATTTAGTGGCATCACATAGATGGCATCTGATGTTTGAACTTACATTATGTATAGATTGCAGCAACTTTTTTCATCCAGTTATCAACTTTTAATAGCGCTATAGAACATTCTTTAAAGACATATGTATATTAAGAATTACCTAAACAGAAACTTCTGCTTTGTTTACTGCATTAAGAAAAGCATCGTGCATTGCTTAACAATGGGAATCAAATGTATTGGTATTAACTTAAGCGAACTAACACTTACCAATAAGGGGATATTGGGTCTAAAACCCTTTTCAAGCAATTGAATTTTTATCTGTTTCTAGAAGGCCTAGGAGGCCTTCATAAGGTAGTGGTTGGGAGAATTTATTTTTTGAGGCCAAACATAAGTGGTAGATCATATAAAACATCATTCACATCAGTGATTGCAAACCTCCTGGAAATAAAACCATCATTGATCGATGTACTCATTTCAGAAATAATGTGCTATAATGATTTAAAATTAATATAGTTGTACAACTTTTTAATTATGGGAATTACTATCTCTTGGATGTAAATGTCACAGCTACAGAAATAAAATCATATCCTGATGAACTGGATCCCAGGAGCTGAGATTTAAATGCTCAATCGATTGGCACTACGTGGCTTTTACTGGGGGATAAATCTGATTTCTTAGCAGAAATCATGCCGCAATTCACATTTTTACAACTTACTGTCTCAGCAGAAAGGAAAGTGGCTGCTGAAACATTCTCTTTATCTATATGTTCACTTCCAATCCGCATTAATTATTTTCTTCCTGTTCATTTTATTCTTAATAATGATTTTTTTAATATATATATTTTGATGGTTGTCTTTTCACTTTAATGCCTACATCATGCTAAACCATAGTTGCAGTTAGGAGTAGCAGTAGCAAAACATGGTTTCAAATTGAGTGGTTTACTACCTGAAAACAAACAATAATATAATATGTGGTGTGAACTCAGACATACTATTGGGAAGCATTAAATGTTTAGGATATTTCCACAAATAACATCTTATTACCCATTTGGGTAAGGAATTTTTATCTTTGTGTCTACCTGTCTGCTTCTGAATTCTTAGACATTGTTAATGTTAAATTTGCTGCTCATTGCAGGTTTAATTAACAAATATTTCTTTCTCAACTTTCAGCAACACAAATTAAACAAAGTTAGCATTTGGTTGTTAGCAAAGCTGTTGTTTGATGACTCTGCCATGCACTATGCAAAGGCTGTTTTTCAGATACTCTGAGTAGGTTTCCATGTGTCATGTTTGCTATGAGCTATGGTCCAGGGACCTAATGCAGAAACCCTACATTGCCATATGGCTATTTAACATAAATTTCCATTCACATACATGGATCCTTATTCATTGAATGTTTGAAATATTTTCAGAAAAAAGCAGATGATACACACAGTGGTCTACTATGCTGGATGCTGTATCTTAATTCTGCAGAAAAAAAAAATCTTGACTATATTTGAACCCTCGCTTACCACTTGGTTGGTGGGTGGGGGCTGCCAAGTATTTCTTGATGTGGTAACAAATGTTCAAGTACTTTATATCCATTGTACAAAAATTGAAACCTGCCTGTCAGGTGGTTAACTCTACTGGAAATATTCAGGAAAACTATCAGTTGTAAATTATATTGTGTCCCCACCCTTTAAATTGTAACTAGCATATCAGTACAGAATGCTTCTCTTTAAAAATTCATAGAACATAAACTATCAATGGCTACCAGTCATTATGGCTATATATATCCCCAAGATCAGGGATGGCATGGCATCAAGAAACCACAGCAGAAAGGAGTTGTTATTCCCATGCCTTGATTGGCGGCTTCCCTCTGACCTGTGGTTGGCCACAGAATGCTAGACTAGATATGCTGCAGTCTGATCTAATGGGGTATTTTTATGTCCTAAGAGCCTGAATTTGGGGAAAAAATACAAGGTTTGGGAAACTGAATACATTTTGTTTGAATCTTGTGTGTTCCATTTTTCAGAGACAAGCAAAATATTCTGAAAACAAGCTCAAGTGCACTAAAGCTAGGAATGATTATCTGCTGAACCTCGCAGCCACAAATGCAGCAGTCAGTAAATACTACATCCATGATGTTTCCGATTTAATTGATGTGAGTACCAAAGTGATTCTCTTTTATAGCAATGTCATTCACCTTTCTAATGAAAATTGTTGCATTCTAGACTGTGGACATGCAGGGATGCGGTCTTAATTTATGACCAATTGCTAATGTATTCAGCATGCAAGACCTATTTGTCTATGGATTCATATCTTGATGCTTTTCCCCTCCCAGTAATTTCTTAAAAGCAATGGAAGTAGAAAGATATTCAGACATGCAGTGTTTTTCAGCTACTGAAGAATTTAAAGGAGTCATAGATGCTTGGAACTGTACAGTTCTATGTTCATTTATACATTTTATATATTAAAATATGTTATACTAACAATGATTCCCCCCCCCCCAAAAAAAAAATGATTGCAATGAAGTGAGAGCAAAATACAAGTCAAGGCAGATGAAGATTGAGTTCAGCAAATATAAATGCTGTCAGGCAAGAATAGAGAGTGGTGATAATAATGTCCAAACAAAACTGGTGGTGATAATTGTTATGTATTGGAAGAAAGATACAAGAGTAGAAGTTTTAAAATAGAGCTGATAAGACAGACGCTTACAGGAGATAAGAAAGATAGCCAGGTACTATTTCTCAACTTTGTAGATCAGGAGTATCAAACTTGATTTCATTGAGGGCCACATCAGAGTTGTGTTTGGCCTCGGGGGAGGAGAGGATAGGTGGTGGCCAGGGGACATGGCAAGCTTGATGTCACTCATGTCGGGGGCACAGGTGTTGGCCAGGTGCTCTGCCAGCAAAAGTGGGCTCCCAAGCTCCGTTTTTAGCTGCAACGGTGTCCTGCAACCCTCTGCCAGTGAAAATGGAGCTCAGGAGGGCCATTTGCACTGGCAGAGGCCCCAGGGGCCAGTCCTTTGCTGTTTCCAGAGCAGCCCCGTGGGCCAGATCTGACCCCCAGGCCTTGAGTTTAATACCCCTATTGTAGATCAAACTTTAGTTTGTGAACTGCCCACAAAACTACCAAAAAATTCTTAAAATCCACAGTGAAAAATAAGATATGAGTTGTTTCACTGATTGTTGGAGAGTGGATTTTGTGCATCTAAAACTCTTTATTTTGTAGGTCAATGAGAGTCTGCAGATAGCTCAGAATTAGAACACTATACACGTTCATGCTTTGGCTTGATCAGGCATTTCAAATAAGATTTCCGCCTACTTTAAACATGCACTGAATCCAATTATAGTTTGCAACACGGGTTATCATCTTGCTGGTGAAATACAAATTGGACTCTAGATAAACACAGGTCATTAAAAAGTAATACAAACAATGATCTTTAATCTCAAATCTGCAGTGTTTTAAATGGCTGAAAATTAATTTCCTTTAATTATACCTCTAAATCATATTAAGTGTACCATTGAATGTTATGCATCACCAAGTTTTTTATGACTCTTATCAGCCACATACGTTGACATTTTCCAAGATGATCTGTTCCCACTCTAGACCTTTAGGTTTCTCAGTAATGTACCAATTGTCATTTTAATTAACTCTGTCCACCTCACTGCTGGTCAACTGCTCTTTCCTTCCTTCCTTCCTTCCTTCCTTCCTTCCTTCCTTCCTTCCTTCCTTCCTTCCTTCCTTCCTTCCTTCCTTCCTTCCTTCCTTCCTTCCTTCCTTCCCAATATTATGGATTTCTCAAAGGAGCTGGGTTTTCACATTCTGGGTCCAGAAGCCAGCAGAAGTCTTTTCTTGCCTGTACAGGAAATTTCCTTTAAGGGCCTAACCCAAGCCATACTTGATTCACTATAAGTAAATTTGACTAATTATATGTGGTTTGCTTGCAAAAATAATGTTATTAAGTTTGTGTATCTTGCATACATCTATCTTAATCAGCCTTCTATCCTTCCGAGGTCAGTAAAATGAGAACCCAGATTGTTGGGGGCAATATGCTGACTCTGTAAACTTCTCAGAGAAGGCTTAGTAAAGCATTGTGAAGTGGTATATACTTCTTAAGTGTTATTGCTGTTTATTTCAGCTTTCTTGAAGAAAAGGCACTTCGGCCCGTTTTTCACATATGAATAATGCAGGGGTCTTCAAAGTTGACAGCTTTAAGACTTGTGGACTTCAGTTCTCAGAATTCCTCCTCAAGTCATGTTAGCTCAGGAATTCTGGTAGTTGAAGTCCACAAGTCTTAAACTTACCAAGTTTGAAGATCCTTGGAACAATCTGCATCAGAACAACATGATACAGTGTCAAAATATGTTACTATAAGGAATATTTCATACCTTAGGTCAGCAGCGCTCAACCTTTTGGGCACCAGGGACTGGTTCCGTGGACAGAGTTTTTTCCGTGGACCGGAGGGGGTATGGTTTCATGTGCTGCCTGCATCCCGTGGATGGGCACTGGTTTATGTAGCCTGGTTTCTAGCATCCCACTGACTGGGGGCAGTCCACAGACTGGGGGTTGGGGACCCCTGCCTTAGGTAGTCAATAAGAACTTCTACTACTTATATTATCAAACTTATGTATCTCAGCATTTTTGACTGTGCATATTGCAGTGGAATGAGTTGCGTTGATCATTTCAGATAGCAGTTGAGAGTAATGTCTTACACAGCAGGTGAGGGTCATCTTTTAAAATTACCCACATGAACATTTCTTTATAAAGATTAAGAATTAAAATATATTGCTTCTAAAATGCAGAACCTTCACAAACCAATGGGGTTATAATAATCCATTTGAACCTATTACTATGCCCCATTCCTACTGCGAATGTTTAAAACTGCTACCAGAGTAGAGATTTAGAAGTCAGCTTTTCTTACATATATAAGGAAAACGATTTTTCATGAGTTCTTCTCTACTAACATAAACACGATGTTTAGTCAGGCAAACAGAAAGAACCCACCCACCATTGTTTGTTTTCCATTTGTAAAATTAGACATAAATATAGTCTTAGTGGCTATGATGAGCAAAAGTACCTGGTTCAGCTAAAAAGATCTGCATGAATCATAAGAAAAACAAACCAAATGGGTGTAAAATAGAGATGCTCTATGTATCCAGAAGTCACAATGAATATAAGAAGGGAAATCTCTGTAAACTTTCAATACTCAGTTTCTCCTTGCCCCCCTAAATGGCAAGGAGTTACTTGTAATTTCATAGCGTGTATATTTTGAATTAGAAATGGTAGATATAGATTGGCTTTTCCCCTACCCGCTGCTGCCCTAATGTCTTGGGTTCTAATTCCCATAATCCATAGCCAGTATGACATATCTCCTATTAGCATTACAACAGGCTTTAAAAGCAGAGCTTGGAATACTGGTGAACAAAACAAATCTCTCTCTCCCCCACACGTTTTGATAGGTGACTTATCTGCTCAATTCAGACATCATGCTTAATTATAGTTTATGCTATACCCATAATCAAAGTGAGCTTTGGACACACTGCAAAGTACCCTTTTTGCCTCTGAATCCAAAAGCTTGATATGAAAGGCACTTAGATTTTAATTTATTCTTGGTCCTGCTATTACTTTTGGGGTACAACCAGCAATACACCACTGAAAATATGAATCCGCCTGCACATACCTACTCTGACAATAGCCTACACAGAAGTCTTTCCTAATCCTGTATGCTAGATGGAAACAGTGCATCAACAGAATGTATTGTACATTGTTTATTAAAGACACCTTCATTTTCAGGAATGCTTAGATAAAGTCAAAGCCTGGCAGATTAGATTGGTAAGGGATGGATGGATAAATAAATAGCTAAGTTCACGGGAAATTATTTTCTCTCTGTAGAGTCAGCGCATTCCAGAACTTCTGACGAAAGGAATTGTACATGTGCATGAAGCCAAGAGGAAAAATGCTTCCTAGTGGAAATTGTTGTCCCTATTCTTTTTTTCCCTTCTGTTGATTGAATGTTGCAGGTCTCAAAAAGCAACATGTTTTTTTGAATGTAACAGAGGAGCATGTTATAATTCAGTTCTATTTTAGGCTGATGGGGAAAACAACATGAATCCTGTCCTTACAGATAGTCCTCAATTTATGACCCCAACTGAGTCCAAAATTTATGATGCTACATAAGAAATTTGTTAAGTGAGTTTTGCCCCATTTTATGACTTTTCTTGTCCCATTTGTTAAGTGCAGTTTTTAAATTAGTAATATGGTTGTTAAGTGAATCTGGCTTCCCCATTGACTTTGCTTGTCAAAAGGTTGCAAAAGTTGATCACATAACCCCAGGACAGTTCAATCATCATAAATATGAGTCAGTTGCCAAGCATCTGAATATTGATCACTTGACTATGGGGAATACTGCAATGGTCATAAGTGTGAAAAATGATCATACATCACTATTTTCAGTGCTGTTTTAACTTTGAATGGTCACTAAACAAACTGTTGTAAGTCGAGGACTACCTGTATGAATACACAAAATTGAAATAAAATAAAAGTAACAATGGATGCAAACTATCAAGCTTGGTCCTGTGTTGGTATGTAATAAAAATTGTGACAAGTTTAATTAAACTCAAAACATGGGGTGTGTGTCAGCTTTTTGTGCCATGTGTTTAATATTTAAAGGTTCAGAAGACAACTGCTAGCTAAATGTACCTCTTACTTTCTTCACTTTATAAACAGCTACGTTTGTGTCTCCCAAGTTCATTTGAAAAATTTGGCATTTAGTTTGCGGCTTTGAAAATTACTCAAGGCAGACATTTGTGTGGCTGAAAAAGTTTCTTTTGATGTGGGGAGTTTAGTCTACTTTGGTCTTGGCTGTAAAGTGATACCTTTTAAATTAGGTACTGCAGGTCTTGAGGCCTTCTCAGATCGGAAGTATGTGGTTAGCGGTGCTATCGCTAGTTTCAACTGTGGTAATGCAGGCTAAATTTGGTGGAAATGAAGGGTTGGGTCCTCTAAAAACATACAAGAGGGAGTGAAGGCTAATCCGTGAATGCAAATGAAAAGTCATTTGAAGCCCAGAGATCTATTAAACTCAGGAGAAGTTTGTAAAAATCTGGATGTGTTTATTTCTAACTATATTTCTCCAATAAAACTACCTGTTGTTTGTTTGTAAAATTGTTCTACTTCCCAGAGTAAAATATCAGAAGACCCTGTCATGTAATGCCTAGGAAACATTTTACATTAGAGCAATGATGTTCTTGTCACACTGTTATGCTTCCTGCTGCTTATCTTATGAGCAAAATGAATGGATGGATGGATGGATGAATGGAAGTATGAATGTAGATATAATAAAGTTATGAATGACTGTGTGTTTTACAAGGGCCACCATAGTTCCCACCATAGTCTCTGGAATTCTGGATATTGCTGGCTACAGAAGACTTGCAATAGATCATTCTGGCTGATAGAAATACTTATTCAAATGCTAATTCTTGCACTTTTGAGTTACAATGAAGCATAAGATCAGATAAATCAATTCTCATTTCTACTGCAGTAATTTTGGAATTTATTCTATTGAAGATTCAGTCAGATGAAAAAGTGGACATTAGCCCTGTTCATTTCTAATCCACAGAAGTATTGCATTGCATTGTTGATCTGATACCTTTAGATTTCTTACCATTCCTTTCTTAGTTTTTATCTTTAATCCTATTTATAACACAGGTCTGAAGTCAGTGTCCTTTTTTCAGCTTACAACCATACACACACACACACACACACACACACACAATAGATAGATATAGATAGATGGATGGATGGATGGATAGATAGATAGATAGATAGATAAATAGATAATGTACAATAAAATACTTTGAAGTGTAGAGTGAAAAGCCAGCATAGTGTAGTGTTAAGGTATCGGTTTGGCCTCAGGTCAATCTAAGTTCTATGGCTAAGTTCTACTCCTAGCCATAGCAGCTCCCTGAGTGATTTTTGGCCAGTTACTCACTCTCAGCCCAACCTGTCTCACTAGTTTGTTGAGCTTTGAGCTCCTAAATTAAAAGATTGGATATTCTTTTAAACAAACAAGCAAACAAATAACACATAGCTACTTAGTATTTCTTCAAGTGAATAACCTGTTATTCTATCTAGAAATAATTTGTATGTGCTGTTGTTTAATCTTTGTTTTTTCTTCCTTAGTGCTGTGACTTGGGATTCCATGCTAGTCTAGCACGGACATTCAGAACATATCTTTCTGCTGAATACAATCTAGAAACCTCACGCCATGAGGGGTTGGACATAATTGAAAATGCTGTAGACAACCTGGATGCACGAAGTGACAAGCATACAGTTATGGACATGTGCAACCAGGTCTTCTGTCCTCCGCTGAAGTTTGACTATCAGCCTCACATGGGGGATGAGGTACGTAATTAGAAATGGTTCGTGTTGCTTCATAATGCAATTTTCCTTCAAATGTAATGCTTCTTGTGTATTAGAATGAATGAGTTTAGCTTTAATGTCATTTGTGTTTCATTTGTTAGCTTTGAAATGATGTTGTAGTTAGTGGAATTCTTTTTTCTTTTCTTCTTCTTTTAGAATAGGGCTGAGGAATGACGGCCGTTTTATGACTTATGGACTTCAACTCCTGAATTTCTGAGCCAGCTCTGCAGCAGGAATTCTGGGAGTTGAAGTCCACAAGTTATAAAGGGAGCCATTGTTCCCCATCTATTTTAGAACAAGGACCACATTTTCACAGTAGGCTTAGACCAGTGCTATTTTCCATTTCACTTAGAACTTTTTAGACACATATTATATTAGAACTTTCATTCTTCACTGGACATTTCTTTGTTGAGAATTCTTTTCACCATTTAAATAAATTAAGAAACAGATGGCTTTTGCTATATGTTGGGCATAAAAAGTGGTTAATATTTAGACCTTTTACAGCAGTCTGTCAAACTGACGGCCTATGGGCCAGATGTGTCACACATAGGCCATGTCCACCCCGGCTCCACAAAGGCAAAAATGTCACGATACATCACAATATGTCATGTGACACGATCGAGTTTGACACCCATGTTTTATAGGGTGATTTATTCAGATGCTGCTTTTGGAACACTAGTTATGTAATCTCTGCTAGAATGAGCCAATATCTTGAAATATTTCGAAATATTAGAGTTGATTTGGCATACTGGCATAAATGGTCACTATTGTCATTATTTTATATGTGATTCAGCTACCTTGTCAGATTCTAAAAGAAATTATTTTGTTAAAAAAAGACCATTTTAACGGAAGATCATTTTTTTCTGCCAATATTCTCCATTAGCTTGAATTTGCAGAGGCTTATATTTTCTTTCTACAGGTATGTCAAGTAAGCGCCCAGCAGCCGGTTCAGACGGAATTGCTCATGCGATATCATCAGCTACAGTCTAGACTAACCACGCTCAAAATAGAGAATGAAGAGGTGAGAGCTGTAATTGTTTTTAACTGTAAGTAAACAAACACCATTCACACAAGTTATGCTAATGCTTCTGTTTGAAGTGATTTTGAAAGTCATTTGGATAGTTAATACCTTCTTGATCGAAATAGTCCAGAATCTGTGACTATTGTAATATGTATCACAGGGCACTTTTTTTCAAAAATGTCAAGAAGTTGTAAAAAACACAACAGTTAATCTGCTGATGAGCGCAAAGCACAACTATCACATTATTCCTATTTTGGAATATCTGCACCAATGGTCATTTGTTTATTTAGACCTGACTCTCTCATGAACCACTTTGGATCTATTTTTCATTGATATATTTTAATATTAGTTTTAAGCTATGTTTTACTAAACTATTTTTTTTTCTTGTATGGTTAAGGTGATGTATCTTCACAATAGATCTGAGCTTCCCAGTTTACTAAAGGGGATATAAATGGTACAAAGCAAAGGAATATCCTACTTGGATTTAAAAAATTGAATTAAAATTCCAGGAGGCAAAACTGTATCTTATCAGATCAAAAGAGTAATAATTGAACCATTGAATTACATAACTTACTATTTAACTCATACTTGTAAAATCATCTTCATGCCCTCTTGATTTTAGGAAGATTGGGAACGGGGATTCCGTGCAATATTGTCCATGCAATATTGTCAGTGTAATATTGTGTTCTGTGACTGAGCATTGTAGAATATTGTTTACCATTAGAGTTATGTCCATTTCCATTACTATTAATTTAGTATTACTCATCTACTATAGTTTTCGAGAGGTTCTGGTAATTGTATTGCTACACATGTTGTTTTTTATTAATTGTTTGAACTAGAAATAATTGTGGATCACTTTGAGGCTGTAGTTACTCAAGAAATTTCTGCTTGTGACTTCAGAGGCTTTACAAATCTAATTAGTCATAGGCATTAGGACTATGTAAAACATTTAGAAAGATTCAAATAGTCTTATGAAGTGCCCCTTCAAATCTATTGATGAAAGACAAGGGACATTTGCGAGAATAAAGTCACCAGTAAGAAATATGTACTGTATATATTGAGGTATTTTTCAAGAGAATTAATGAAGATTGTATTGCAAAACAAATATATAAATGAATCTAGAAGAAGAAGACAGAGAGAAATATGATTGAATGGAATTTATTTGATCCTAAAAAAGAAGCAGACGAGAAATGTCAAGAACAAAAGACAATGTCGGAAACAGTTTATGGATACGAAACTTTTCCATTTGATGTAATGTGAACATTAAGTAAGGGGTTCTTTATGACTGGCTGTCTCTAGGGTTATAAATCCAGTGGTATACAATTATATGCAAAAGATGAGGTTCTTCTGATTAAATTTCATGTTTCAGTGACTCTGTAAGTGTACAGAAGCTGACACAACCTCTGCATGGTACAAAGTTAAAGACAGCATCTCTCTAGTTCACTTTTAAATCATTATGATTAAAATAATTTCTTAAGAGTTCTGTTTGATTTTTTTTTCATGATTGCATGATGGTATGAAGATACAGCAACATACTTCTCTCTGAATCATGTATAAATATTTTTCATTTGTAAGCGAGAACATCCTGTTAAACTAAGAGCTTGATTTTGGAAAGCATTTGTTAAAAAAGACACCAGTGTAACAAAAGTTATACATTTATAGTGCAAAACTGTATCTTTCACTCTGCTTTTCTGTATATCCATTTTCTACAGGTACGAAAAACATTGGATGCCACAATGCAGACACTGCAAGACATGCTGACCGTGGAAGATTTTGATGTCTCAGATGCTTTCCAGCATAGTCGCTCAACTGAATCCATCAAATCAGCTGCTTCAGAGACTTACATGAGTAAAATAAACATTGCCAAGAGAAGAGCCAACCAACAAGAAACTGAAATGTTCTACTTTACTGTGAGGAACAATTTCTGTCTATTTTGAGTCCAGTACTTTTAAAAACACATTAGTGAAATATTCATCCCACAAAGTTATAGTTGCATATTAGGTTCGAAATGCCCATATTATATTTTTATGGCATGTGCACATCAAATTACTCTTCCCTTCTCAAGTATGCACAAATGTTCTTTTAATGTACAATAGTTATGAGAATTTCATGTGCCTTGTTTGAAGGAGGGTTTTTAGCAATAGTCCTCAAGGCTTTGAAGTAAAGATATCTGGGACCTTTAATTCTAAATGTCCAGGTTTTGCTTAAACATATCCCTTTAAATTAGGGGCTATTCATATATTCTACCACATTCCTGAAAATACTTTTCTTCCATTGTTCAAGTCAGCTGAGAAGAATTTTGTAAATTCTGCTGGCCACATATTACTAGATTTGCCCTAGTTAGAATTGGAAGTTCTTAGATTCATGTCTTTTTAGAAACCTTTTATAATATGTTGATTTTTACTGTTGGAAATCTTTTTAAAATAAAAAAACTGTGTAATATTGATTCTTGTTACTCTGGTTATGAAGGCAAAGCTGGAGATATCTACAAAGTTTGGCAGCTAAGTAGTATAGATAACTTTTCCCTCGCCTCATAGCATAATGTGACAAGTCTGATTGAAACTTGTTAAGATCCTCCTCCATCAATATTCCTCAAGTAACTTCATTTTTCTGCAAACATTCTTGCTCTAAGGCAACTATCTAAGTTAGAAACTCATATAGTTTTGTTGATCTCCTTGTGCCTTATCATCCTAAGAATGGAAGGCCTTGACTTAGAAGAAGACAATGGGTATACAGTAGAACTGTATGCAGTAGTGCTTTTATGTACAGTCATGCAGATTGTACAACTATCTGCAAGAAGTTATAATTTGAGCAATGTGGAGGAGGGGTGTTTTAACTTTAATAACATCCAAGCAGAGTTTATTTTAGTTCTTACATTAGTTGTATCTGATGAAACGACATATACACAGTACAATTCATAATACTTAGCAAATGCGTGCTATTCACCTAAAAAATCTTGCCAAACTTTGCACTTTGGGATTTTGTCGTTCACCACATATTGCAGCAAAAAGCTTAGAAATGAGAGCACTTAAATCTATCTGCCATCTATTGACTTAATTAGAATGTGAGGTTCAACCCATGGAATTATTTTCACTAACACATAATATATCATCATAACAAATATCATTTTCTTAATTGAGAGAGGTTACTGGAATTTGTATTTTGTAATTAGTGCTGTGTGTATTCATTTTTGAGTCTTCTTATTTCTGTACCTTCAACTAATATGCATGTTTCTCCTTCCCACACCCCATGCTTTCCCTCTGTTTCTAGACCTGTAGAATTATATGGGTGAATACAAAGGTTTTTGACTTAAGTTTACTTTATTGTCATTGCACCTCGTACAATTAAATCAAAATATAATTTAGAATATAAACAGGAGTGTTACTGTTACCTACTTTTTACAGAGAGGGAAAGCTTGGTTAAGAACTCCTGTGGGTAACCAAAATCTGATTCCTTGCAACTTAGAAATTTGCTTTTTCTTTCCTATTTAGTATACTGAGAACACCAAGAGGAAAATGAATATGTATGCATGCATACATGCATGCATGGAGAGAGAGGGGGGGGAGGGAGGGAGGGAGAGGGAGAGGGAGAGGGAGAGGGAGAGAGAGAGAGAGAGAAAGAGAAAGAGAGAGAGAGAGAGAGTCCTCATTCATTCAGCAACTATTCAAACTTGTGATGTGCTGAAAGAGTGGTATTTATGACCAGTCTTTGGATCTCTGGCTATAACAGCATCGCTCTGGTCATGTATTTTTCATTTGCAACCTTTATTGCTAGCTTCTGACAAACAAAGTCAATTGGGAAGCCTGAAGAGGGTTGCAAATGACAAGCATATGACATCCTTGCTTAATGAAATGTGATGGTTTGCTTAACAGTGGCAAATGGGACAACTGGAATTGCCTATGCTAAGCAGCATGATTATGTGATATCGTGGTTTACAACCATGTTGCTTAATGATGGCAACTCTGGTCTCAATTGTTGTTGTTAATTGAGGACTACCTTTAGCTCAAAGTATGTCCTATCAGAATTCTTTGCTCATCTTGTTTATAGTTGTATGGATTTGTTTTTTCTCTTCTTCAGAAATTTAAAGAGTATTTGAATGGCAGTAACCTTATTACTAAGCTGCAAGCTAAGCATGACTTACTGAAGCAGACTCTAGGAGAAGGTAAGTTACATTGCATTTCTTGCTACCATAGGTTTCAAGCTAAACCATAGATTTCTTAATTGTCATCTGCTTTGGTTCTTTCTCTTGTATCTGCTGTTGTAACCAGAAGTATTATCTGGTTGTTGTTAAATGCAAAACAGCCCATTTTGCTTCTTTGTTCCTCATGCTGCACTTCACCAATATTCTCCAGCCTTTTCCAATTCCAGGGGTCAACATGTCGTACTAAAAGCAATTCCAGTTGTCCCATGATGCCATTTGCCTGGATTCCTTTCAGGGTGGGCATCCCAGATTTGGGGTTAGTTTGGTTTTGGGGAAACAGAGTACCAGGTAAAGGCAGGGTGAAAATAACACTAGCCAAACACACAATGGGAATTGAAAGAAGGGAGGGGGCAGTCTGGGACTCTCTCCTGTCTCTTCCACAACACAAAAGTAGCTTGTGTCCATTTTGTTTGTACCACAAGACTGTTTTGGTAGTTAAATATGGGGCCAGGGATTGGGATGATACTAGTCCAGAATGGAGTAATATAAAATTCTTATTAATAATATAAATGCATGTCTAAATGTGCCTGCCCACCAAACATGTTTGTGCTGGTACCAGTACTTCAGCATATTTGAAATACAGGCTATATTCGAGAATGAATGTTGAAACTGGTTCTTGCCTAATTTAGATAACTGGATATTATCAAATAACTATAAGTAACCTTATAAAACAGGAGTCCCCAATCCCCAGACTGTGGCCCACTGCTAGCCCATGGCCCATGCAGAACCGGCCCATGCAAACCCACCACTTATGCACACACTTGTACTTGCCACCCACATGGAATATTCCCTCCCTCCCCCTACTGGACCACCAAGCTGGAAAGGTTGGGGACCACTGTTATAGAAGGTCAAAACATGTTGTTCTTCCTTCTCCCATTATATCCATGAGGGACCCTGTAATTTATGCTTTTGCTTGGCAAGGTGATAAATGTTATTATTTTTTGTTTTGTCTGATAGAAAAGCCCAAGCCCTGCTAATACATTCTCTTAAAACACATTCACTATGTTCTTAGTGATAAGTCATTTTATATGGAATTAAAGTTTGTCAAATACAAACACTGAGTTTAAAAAGTATATCAATGTTCTTTGAAGGATATTTCAAAGTTTTGAAAGTAATAGTCTGAAGGAAATTTTAAAGTTTTGAAAATAATAGTCAACAGCAGCACCGGGAGGGATAATATACTGATGCATGGGAAGAGTAGTCTAAGGCAGTAGTTATTTTCCAGAGTCAAGCAGTAAAAATGAAGGGCAGTTAAAATGGAAGTACTAAGTATAGAATTTTGAACTATTTCAGTGTTTTAATAGTGTTATAATGTACATTGGCACTGAAAATGGTATATTATTTGCAAGTGGGTTACTTCTGTCACTCTGCTTGAAAGCTGTCAAGGAGAATTGAAAAATTAATGCAGAGGCCCTTTCATCGCTGAAGATTTATGTTGAAGGGAAAATCTTTAGACAAGTTGGTGGAACTGACTATGAAACTACAATGACCTTGATCTCTGCATATATTCCAGAAAAACTAATTTGCTTCACTCTAGTTATACTTTTTCCCCACAGGAGTTGGCTTTTGAGGGAATGTTTGATTATAGGACAAATTGTAGGCATATATTTGTACAGAAAAATCAATGGTTCATCATTCGGAGAGGGGATTCAGTAGCTTTGGTTTTCAAATAATATTCAAATAATAAGGATTAATTAGACTTAATGTTATATGGCATATGTGTTTGTAAGCGATTCCTTCAGCTGTTTCCCCATTTCTTTTCCTTCATTCTTTAATTTCTTATTGTTCTAAGCCTACCTTCCCCCAAACAGAGAAGCTGCTTCTTTATAAGCTTGCCTAAATTATAAGCTGTTAGAGAATAACAGAGTTGGAAGAGTTCTTTAAAAAAATAAAGGGTGGTTGATATTAAGCTTTATTAAATACCAGACATTTAGTAGTGTTAATAACAGAACAACAGAGTTAGGAGAGATCTTAGAGGTCTTCTATCTAGTCCAACCCTCTGCTTAGGCAGGAAACTATACCACTTCAGACAAATGGTTGTCCAATCTCTTCTTAAAAACTTCCAGTGTTGGAGCATACACAACTTTTGGAGGCAAGTTGTTTCACCGATTGGGACTGGAGTTGCTTAGTGAGTTATCAGGTGATGAAGTCCAATTTTACAACCATTTGTTACATTAATGAATCATGCTTCCCACGTTGACTTTGCTTGTTTGAAATCAGCTGGGAAGGTTGCAGATCATGATCTTATAATGCTGTTGTCAAGGTCCGAGACAGCGTGCCATTCAAAGTTGCCACAACATGTTATTTCGGAGTAGCCACACACATGCAGGGAAAGGGGGATGCGTGGGAGCACAGATGGGTGATGGGTGATGGGACGCATGCCGGGAGAGTTGCCAGGAAGGCAAGCCAGCTGCGGTCAGTTCAGAAGCCATCCAGGCCTGAAGAGTACTTGTTGGAGCCAGCCAGGGAGCAACCGGTTTCGAAGAGTACTTGCTGGAGCTGAGCCAAAGAAGTACCTGCTGGAGCCAACCAGGGAGCAACTGGAAACAGGAAGGCGGGGCCTGCTGAGTCCGTATAGCCAGTTGGCTAGCAGAAGCCAGTAATGCTGGCTAGAAACCTTTAGTCATAAATATGAGCAAATTGACTAGCTCTCAAATTGTGACCATAGAACCTTGGGGGAAGTGTGAGGGTCAAAACTTTGAGGAAGGGTCATACATTGTATTTTCTGAACACATTGTAACTTTGAACCTTTGTTAAACGAACAATCATAAGTTGAGAACTATCTATGTACTCATATCATCATCAATTCCAATATCAATTTAATAATGATATTTTAATTATCTTAATAGTCCAGGGATAATATTATATTGTGTAGCCTGGTTATAAGCTCCAAATGTGTTTGCAATAACAAGAACAGAAACTTAAATAGAGAAATGCAAAACAAGATCAATTTGGGAGAGAAGTTTCAGACTGATTTCAGCCAGGATGGAATCTGTGCCTGAGCTATGTTTAGAGTGCTGGTGTATTTACTGCAATTATACACACATGCATAATATTGAGGTGTACCAAGCAGGTCAATCGTTACTGATGAACTGTATCCAGGTGCTCCTCAAATGTTCCCTATAAAACTGGGGAAGGTTTTGAGAGGAATCTTGTGGAGAGCAAACCTGAGCTCAAAATTTTAGTAAGGATTTGGAAGATAGGATGAATGAATATTTATTAAATTGACACAAGATGTTAACATCTTAGAAGACAGAAAAGAATTCAGAATGTTTTCTAACTCATTTTTTATGGTTTTGATTATTTCCCTTGGCTTTCCCAAGCTAATCTCTAGCTGAATTTAAATTATGAACAGAATGTAGCTTTAATATTAGTTTAGAACTAATTTAGAACAATTGCTTTTAGATCAGGGGCATAATAATTTTACTCTGTTCATTGATTGGAAATACATTCAGTTCCTTGTCTGGTTCTGGTCATCATGCTTTAAGGAGTCATGTAAATTAGTTTATGCAACCAAAACAACAGTAATCTGGAAATTCCGTCAATGGGGAAGCCAGGCTCACTGAACAACTGTAGTGATTCACTTAACAGCTGTGGCAAAATAGGTCATCCAGTGGGGTGGAACTCACTTAACAACTGTCTTGCTTAGCAATGAACATTTTGGGCTTCATTGTGTTCATACGTTGGCTACTTGTACTGCAAGCAGCATCATGACTCCATTACTCTGCTAAACCAATAATTCCCTTAACACTGTTCAACTATTACAAAGTCTGCACTACTATTACGGTTCATCTTCTCATCACTCCTTATCACCCATCCCCTCCCACTTGTGATTGTAGGACTGTAACTTGGTCGCTTGTATCCTTATGATTTATATTGACTGTTTCCTAGTATGATTTGATTGCTGATTGTACCCTATGACTATCATTAAGTGTTGTACGTTATGATTCTTGATTCTTAACGAATGTATTTTTTTCTTTTATGTATACTGAGAGTATTTACACCAAGACAAATTCCTTGTGTGTCCAATCTCACTTGGCCAATAAAGTATTCTATTCTGTTCTGTTCCATTCCATTCTATTGATTGTTGTTACTTGGATTTTTTTTCCTGAAGAGTCAAATATGGGTAACAATAGCAACTTGTTTATGCTTTCAGCTCTGTCTTTGAAATTTTATTCTTTGCCCTTGAAGTTGGTAATCTTCCAGAAAGGTACAGCTTTAAAGAGATCAAGGGTTGCTACTTGCATATCTAGCTTCATGTGATTAAGCCTGTGTTTCATAGCAGCAGTGGTGAGGATTTCATTAGATATAATCAATCATAGTACATTGCCTTGGAATTCCGAGAGAGGCCTTCTGTAAAGATAGGCTTTTGATAAATGAGAGGCAGGACTACAGTTAGTTTTATCTTGACCTATGTGGGTTTCTCCCATAGTTTAGACAAGACCGATAACCTGCTAAGATTACAATACTAGTTAATGCATGATACAGCAGTTCTTAAGAGCATGATGCGTCAATTAAAACTGCAAGCACTTGTCTTTTCACATCCTCATGAATCAAGATCTTCCTACTAGCCCAATATTCAATTGTGGACTATTAATCTCTTGAATTACTGTAGTTTCTCTTTACTTTATTTCCTCATCACGAACAGTTTAATGTGTTTCTTAAAAAAAAAACACATTTACATTCTTTGAAGTTTTATTCCTTTGCTAAAAAGCATCCAAGGTTTTACCCATTTCTCTTTAAAGTTGACTGTAAGCTTTGATTTTCAGTTCCATCCTTTAGCATGTGTTCTGCTTGCTATCTATTTCGAAACCCTTTGCCTTTTTCTTTATGAAGCTCTTTGATGTAATTCTGGATTTGACTTCTTTCTGAAATGACTCCACTTGATGGGTATTTCAGGCCATTGCTGTCTTGAGAAGTTTACATTAATGACAAGATGGAGATAAAGATAAAGAAAAATCTATTTTTGAATCAAGTTGTAAATAGGAATTAGATTGTGGTATTCATTATATTTCAATAGAGTTTTATTTATGTTTTACAGTTGTTCAATGCCATTCTTGACAAGTTTGGATTCCCTTTAATGACTAGTTGTATTTATTATATTACACAGATATCCTGGGTTTTAACAGTCATAACTACTGAATAAATGAATGTCTAAACAATGAGATATTTGTATAATAATAGTTATTCTTCTTTGTAATTGTTTAAGTTAATTAATACATTTGTAATATTTCCTTCTAGTTTCTGAATTCATGTTAATCTGTTTTATTTTTTAAAATGTTCATTTAATAAGGCTGTGGAAAACTTCGATTGGATAATTTGATTTGGTGAGATTTTTAGCTGAAAGACCATATCAAAGCAGAGATAAATTTGCTTTATGTCATCTTGCAGCCTTGCCCAGAATTTCCAGAAGCAGAGGCTGCTGCAAAAATACAGAACTCATTCCACCTAATGGAAATGCCAGTTGAGGATATAAAGTGACAAAGCACCTTGTTAAAACAATTCATGGTGCTATTTTGCCTTGACAAAAACCATGTTGTCTCTACAGAACAAAGTTTCTCATTAAAGTAAATCCTTAACATTTCACCCGGGCTATCATTTAATCAAAATGTCTTTGCTTTTCCAGTGCAAGTGTAAATTTTATATAATATAATATGTAAATTAAAGAGACAGCATCCAGAAAATAAATAATATTTAGTGCATCAGCTGTGTTCAAGATAGGCAAGGTTAAGTAACAGAATCTTGAAGTATGGAGTTCTTGGCATTGTCTGAGTACCTAAAACTTCACAATCCAGCCCTGAGCTAGAGATAGCTTCTTCAGTAAGAATGATGAAATCCTATCAGAAATAACATCAAGGCAGGGTTATTTTGAGTTTCTTTCTCACACTTTCCACTTTATTGGAACTCTTTTCTCCTCCCTTAATACTTCATTGCTTTCTTCCTAATATCAGATCACATTCTTTTACATAATGTGGGACAGAACCATTGCAAGTATAATGATTAAGGTATAATGATGATGTGTAGTGAAGTGTGGTGTGTTTAAGTGTTTAAGTGTAGTGTAATTAAGATTAAGTGCGGTGCAATGTAGTGATTAAGACTAGAAGTAGCACCCTATGAAATGCATACAATACGTCTATGGCACCCATATATAGTCCATCATCAGTTAAGGTCATTTTGTGATTTTTTACTCAGAATAGTTGAAACTTAATGTCATGGTCTCTCCCCCCCCCCCCACACACACACACAAATTAAGGGTGGAAAAGGGAGCAAGAGGCCTCTTGTAGACAATCTTTACTTTAGTCCCAACACTGAAAATAGTTAAAAAGTGTCTCAATATTTAATAATAAACTAGCTGTATTTGAGGCCATTTCTCAGACTGTTTGTGGGAAGTTTAAAGGTAAGAATGGGAGCAGGAGGTTTGAAATGGTGAATATCTCCCATCTTTACACATATGTTTCTCCAAATTAACAACAACCAAAACAGTGCCACTGAACTGAGTATTTTCCCATTGTTCCACTAGAAGAAGGGCTGGAATCTGAGAGCTAGTTGGGAAGCAAATTGCAACTCTCCATCTAATGAAAGTTGCTCATAACTTCAGCGGAACAAAAAAAGATAAGCTTCAAAGTGCCATGATGATCATTGGGTGATTTTGAACCAATTCACTTGCTTTCAATGTAAACTATCTTAGTGGTATGAGGATATATGCCATGCTGAGTTTCTTGGGGGGAAAAAAAGCAGAGATGTGAATGGAACAAACACACTTCAAACTCACAAATGAAGGCGAATATACATGTCCCAGGATAATGTTGCAGGATCCAATCTGGGTCGGTGACTGGAAGGTTTTGTCTTCCGAGCTTTCAGACTTGTGCTCCTGGAGCCCATCTTCAGGGAACTTGTCTCTAGGCTAGAGAGAGAATATGGGCTCCAGGAGCACAAGTTCTGGGCTAGAGAGAAGTTCCCTGAAGATGGGCTCCAGGATGAGTGCAAAAGCTCGGAAGACAAAGTCTCTGATCCCAGTGACCAACCCAGATTGGATCCTGTAACACTTCAAAGTGTTGTGATTTGAAAAGGTTTATTTTGAATAATGGTTTTGTTGGGAATTCCCCCCACTTGCCTACAATATCTCCACCCCCCCCTTCTACCCTTTTGGCCACTTTGCACAGCAGCAAGAGCACTGGGACTGAAGTAGAGGTCTAGGGCCATTAGCAGTCTCAGCCAGCCCCCAATGCTGCAGGGAGGGCCCCCACAAGCCATGCATCATGGCCAGCGACCCAAGTGCCACAATGCAAAGCCACTGCCACCCTGTGTTTCACAGGTTCTGCTAACCTTTATTGTCTTCTTCCTGCAGTGGTTTAGTACTTGGCTTGATCCTATGCGAGGCAGCTGCTGGCTGTGCCTGCCCTTCTTCTTGAGGCTGCTTATGCCATTCTCTAAATAGTATATGCTGTTTTCAGGAGGCTTTGGAAGGATGCAAAAGCTTTCTGAAGCATCACAGGGAGGCAGCACATGCTTTGGAGAAACATCCATTGGCCTTGGGAAAGAGACTTGGTGGCAGCTCCTTGCATAACGCCAGGCTTGGATGCACCTCAGCCAGTGGCACATCCAAGATGCCAAAGGCCTGCAGGAAGGGCAGGAAGACTGGCTAGAGCTTTGCACTCAGGTCATGGGATGACTGACATTGATGGTGGTGGTGGGGCTTGAGGTTGCACTACTCAGCAGCAGAGGCCTGGATGCGGGAGCAGTCAGCTGAGACAGGGCAGCCAATTGGCAGAGAAGTGGGGAGGAGACAGGTGCACAGGGGAAGTTGAAGAGGAAGCAAAGGTCTTAACCTTACCAAAGCTCAGGGCTGGGAGGGACCAAGCTAGGAATGGCTTGGATAAGGATTGGTCCTCACCTAGTGGCCAGTGACATTTGGTTAACAACTGCAGCCAAGACTGCTGGGATTCCTGTTAATAAACAACGAAGTCATGTGGCACCACACTTTACCGCCATGTGGCTTAGTGATGGAAATTCTGGTCATAATTTAAGGATTACCTTTAAAGAGGCCAGATTTAGTATCTGGCATCTCCACTTAATCTTTCTAGAATTGATGGTGTCATTAGAGGATTCTGTACTAAACCAAATAGGCTTGTTTTCTGAAGGAAACATCCCAATCTGTTCTTAGGAAATTGTTATTTGGTGGCCAAATTACATACTATAGTAGATATGCAGCACAATACAAGTTTGTCTTCTAATTTATTTATGCTGGAGGCATTGGGGAGACAATTAGAGTGCACAGGGAAGGGGGGTCCCTGGTCCCCAGTTCCAGCTTTCTGAAAAATAACTCCTTTGCACAGTTTGAAGCAACAGAAAAATGTTTCTATTAGCAACGCTTTTCTTTGGTTGGTAACCATGGAAGTCTCTGTGACATTTAAAGGATAAATGTCTCTTGCCTATGCACTGCAATTCCTCAAAAAAAAAAACCCTCACCTGTTTCTTAGACATTATTTAAAAAAAAAAATAAAGAGAAGGCAAAACAGTTTGCAATATTGTTAGCATAGCATGAAAATTGACCTTGGAAAGAAATATTGGAAGGGTGGAATTAACATATAACATCAACTGTTGGGAGGGAAACTTACAAAGCTCTTAAATTTCAAGCTGTTTGGAATATATGTGAATGATAATGATGGGAACACTCTTTCTTTTGAAAGATATTACAATAGTATATAAGAATAAAAAAATAGTTGAATAGACCATTAACAAAACAAGGCAATGAAAATACAAGAATTAAAATACCATTGATTTTTTTTAAAAGACCTTCAAACATCTGATCTAGGCATAGTTTTTATCCTGCAAAGTGCTGATTGAAATATCTTTTCAGATTCTATGGACTCCTGCAGCTTTTGTTTTATTTTTCCCCCAAACCTGCCAACTTTAAAATTTGTGGCTTTCCTATGCTGGTTGGGGAATCCTGGGAGTTGAAGTGCACACACCTTAAACTTGCCAAGTTTCAAAAACACTGGGCTATAGGATTAATACTGATTCCCCTCCCCCAACAAAGTACTCCTATAGTAAGGCTGCAAAATAGTAATAGTAAATAGTAAGGCTGCAATTAACATTTGGTTTCTTTCCACCTTCCACAGGTGAAAGAGCTGAATGTGGAACAACTAGGTAAGTGGAACTCTTCATGTTTTTATTTTATGCTGGTGATTGGGTGCTCCTCCTTCTATAACAGGGCTGTCAAACTCCTGGCCTGTGGGTTGGATGTGTCAAGTGCTGGCCACGCCCATGCCTAGTTTAGCGAAGGGGGGGGGGAGAAAGTCATGACACATCACGTGACGCCACCATGATGATGCGAGTTTGACACCCCTGTTCTATAAGGAGGGCTGAACTATTTAAAATCCATCTGCTTCAAATTTATAAGAATCTTCCAAGCATGAGCTATAGGAGGGAGAAAACGGCAACTCTCCCCCTGCATGAGTAGCTTACTTCTGGCTGCATTACTCAAATAGATTAATTAGAAGGACAACAAAAAAGCCTTGTGTACTTGCTGCAGTGGCAATTTCCAGCTGACTGGCTCTGAAATCACACAAGGCTCTGTCAGCAGACAGTACTGCAGAGGCTTCTTGGGTATATCAGCGTTTATTCAGCTACTTGTAATAGTGACCAGCATATTTAGCCAAACTGGAATTCTTTGTTAATATATGCTCAGGGACAAGTTACTAAAGCTGCCTGGAGTTACACTGAGTGAGATGGGAGGCTGTGTAAATTACATTTAACAAATACAATTTAAAAAATACATTTAAATCCCCAGATATGGGATTAATTTCCAGATCATGATATATGATGCTTTCTGGACCATTCTTTATAATAATAAAGAGGGTGAAAAATAGGCATTAGGAATAAGAATACGTTTTGAATTCCCACAAGAAAGAAGAGCAAGGGAGGGGGAGAGAAGAAATTTAGAAAGAAAAAAACAGCATACAAAAGTGAGCTGCTCTCAGAAATTGGAAGGACAGCAACTTATGATTCAGTTAAGTAGTGAAAGGTAATTTAGAAGCAGTCGGCTGTAGTGATAAAAAAGCAGTTATGAAAGAATTGAACGGGTTTCATAGAAGGTAAGCTACCCACAGCTGATTTATGCATTTATGGCTGTGTAGTAATAGCTACTGCTAAATTAGGGATTGATTAGCTTACATTTTCATGCAAATATGCCAATAATGGGGAATCATTAGCTCAAATGATCATTTATATTTTCAGCTAAAGGAAAGATTTCCAAATTTCTTTGATCTACATAATACGTGGGCATAAAGAAGTAATCATTCAAGTAGAGAAAAGCTGTTTGTAGACCTAGCAGGTGGACTAATTCTAAATTTTCTCAGAGAAAAATAGAAAAGAGAGAGAGGATAATAGTTAACCAAATATATATAGAAGAAAGTGCAAGGAAACATGTACAGACTCTTAAGTTTATAATGAATACAACAAGATATTTAATTTCCTGTATGCGGAAAACATACAGGAGGTACTCCAAGTACGTCAATTATTTTGATTGGAATGTAAGGGAATTCAAATTTACCTAACTCATTTTGCCTAAACTGGAATTCTATTGTCTAAAAAGGCCGCACTCCAGCTAGCCTCTTCTCGTGATGCTGAGAAGATCAAATGGATCCAATTAAATAATTTGGATATAATGGGAGAAAAAACCCCAATCATCTTAGTTTGTTTCAGTCCTTATGAGTTGTTTCTCATAAGCCCTGCTTCCCTATGCTTCCCTTCTCCAGGACTATTTCTACTGAAGACCCAAGTGTTCATGGAGAATATATTTTTTTATTTTAATTTGATTTGTCAATTGCTTACAAGATAATAGGTATAAGAGTAAACATAGTTATGAATACATGAAATGAATACATATAAGAAAAATAAAAGAAACATGGTAGTTAATGTCTTGTTATAAGTGGAGCCAGGTCTTGGACTGTGGTTTGCACATTTCTTAATGTGCTTTTATGCTAACCAAATCAAAATGTTGAGTCAAGGTACCTGCCTAATCCCTAAGCAAAATACAGAGCACCAGCATACAGAGCCAACCAGCTACATGAAGATACTGAGGAATAGGAAAAAAAAAAACAGCATTTATTTGGTGTTTTCTTGGGAGCCTTGAATACTATATTCTTTAAAGGAGGTATAAAATCAACATAGAGAAAGAATAATAATTTCTGAGCCACAAATTAGATCAAAAGAGAGATTTACAGTATCTGAGCACCCTGAAGTGCAGTGTGATTTTTCCCCCCAAAGAAATTGAGTATGCTCTAGGCTCCTTAGTACTCTCTTATATGAAAACATGCTACAAGAAAAGGATAAGCTAGCTTTAAAATCTTGCTTATTGTCTTGGTTTCTTTTTGAACAATTTCTTAAGCTGTAAAAATTCACTCCTGCTCCAAGATTTGAGGATAGTAAAATCAGTTTCTTTGTTATTGTTTGTCATGCTTCCCCTTCTCTTTAATATGCACAGCACATGCCTTGAAGGACTATTCAGAGCTGGTCATCCTGGCCCAGCCTTGTAGACTTATTCAAAGGTCTGTATGCTTTCTGCCAAGGAAGAAAGATACAAGCAAATGGCTCCAAAACTTCCAAATAAATGTAACTCTTCTTTCCAGCTCAGTTTGCAATAATAAAGAAAAAGGAAGAACAATAGATTGTGAGGTCTGACGCCCAGTGCAGCAAAAGAACCAGAAAGAAATTTTAAAATAACAGTAAAACTTCATTGTTTAATGCACTGTGCAGGATTAGCAAAGAAATTTGAAACTGTTTTAATAATGGTAGAATAGCTAGCTTTTAGAAACCAGCTTCCTTCAAATGTGGAATTATTTTTCTAAATCTATGAGAATTCAGGATTATGAAGGGGTTGGTCAGTTCAAATTGTAGAAAAAGAGTCATTTTAATTGTATGAATGTGGATTTTTTTAAATTCTGAGAGGCAATTAAAATAAACTGTTTTAATTTGTCAGAATGCACTAGGTCAGTCCTTTGTAGCGAAGGATAATAGTGGATTGAGAAAAGATGAAGTTTGTGTAAATATTTAAACAGCTAGGAACTTGGTGGTATAAGATCTTGGAATTTTTTCCGGGAAGAGAAGATTTGCCTTTACCTCCCAGCTTATTTTAAATATTGTTTTTTCCCCACTTAAAGTGAACTAGATTGTAAATAGAAGTTTCCCAATATCAATATGTAAGCAATTTCCCAACCCTCTTCCGCCAAAGTAAGGAAGCTGGGCGTTGTATCCTTAAGATTCAGGGTTGCTCTTCATGTCTTTGGTATTTAAATGACATACTTTTGAAAAAGATATCAAGGTTCATGGAAGCAATGGGTTCACCTTCACAGAGGCTTCCCTGGGTCTCTGCAGTCTTGGAACTCTTTCCCTGCCATTGTATTCACACTGATGTTTTATGATTTCTTTTGTTCCATTTTCCCAGGCCCCCCTGTCTTCCCCCTAAACCACAGAAAATGAGGAGACCTAGGCCTCTCTCAGTCTATAATCATAAACTCTTTAACGGCAATATGGAAACATTCATTAAGGTATTGACTGTTTAACAGTAAGAGTCTGTGAACACTGTGGATGTAATGGTAGCATTTTCCTCTTCTAACCACTGACCTGTTTCCTTTCCTTGGACCTGGCCTTTCCCATGCACTGCACATCACACCATGAAAATGGTTGGTATGCTATCTCTTTCTTTCTCTCTCTCAGGGACCAAGTCTGCTGGTGCCACACTCGAACTTGCAAGGGACACACTTCACTCTTGGAGTTCTCTATTTTTGTTTATGCAAAGGGAAGGGGTGAGGTAATAAGAAAGATTTTGCTGGAACAAAATGTTAGGGTAGCATCCTTTGTTCCTGCCAGCAGGCTAATTTGTAGCCTATCATATTTTGTTACTACAGGCTGGACTATCCTGTTTCTTCGAAGCTTGGGGTTTATACAGACATCCTGAAATTTAAATGTAGCATGATTTCCTCTCTTAGAAAAATATTTCCTGCAAATCAAAGTTAAAATAAAAAGTGGCGTTTATATGAATTCTTGGGTTTTATTCAGTATTTAACCAAATTTGTATATCCGCTCTTCACGTAGCTTATCCAGGCAACTCCTAAAGCAAATATAAAATTTAAACTACAACAGTAATTGGTTAAGAAATACCGTGATAATTAAAACTTACCTATAAAATGAGTATTAGATCATAAAATATAAACTGTTTTAAAGATCTACATTAACAACTAAGTCTTCATCTGGTGCTGGGAAAGGGGTGCCACAGGAACCTTTACGGAAGTGGTCCTTCATCTAATTTTTATCTCATTTAGCAAGCTAGAAAAATATAGTGAAATTAATGCTAACTTTTAACTTCCAATACTTCAGAGGGAACCTGACAGGGATCCAAATTCTCAAAGCATAATAACTGAGATTATTGGTCTCGATTGCTTTATTGTCTCCTTAGATATGCTAAAATTCAGGAATACTGCACAATTCAGGAAGAGGTCCAATCTTACCCATTTACTTACAACCAGTAGCCACTAAGTTGAACAGAAAGAATCAAGCAAAATGAAGGGGGATTGATCTTTTGTTTTTTTTTAAAAAAGCAGATGATTAAATACCATAACTCAGTCTTGCCACAATGGCATTGCCTGGTTTGCTTCCAATAGAAGTGCCACAATGGGAATATGTCTTGGAACTGCAAATAGTACTCAAAATAATTTGGACAACCTCCAGCTTTTTCTTTCAAAAAAAGTGAATAACCTGCAGCCCATAAAGTAAAAGAGGTAAAACTACAACTTTAAATACTTTTAATATTGAAATTAACATCAAAACCAAAAAATAAAAACATTTGCACATGCAAGGAAGTCAAGACAGCCCAGCAAAAAAAAAAAAAGGGGGGGGGGGGGAAGCATTTTAAGAAATGCAGAATACTAAAGCAACAAACTCTGCCCATTGAACTGAGGTATTCCCCAGAATGCAAAGGACAAGAATTTTGGGTTTTACCAAGAGAGTTATGTAAATAAAATCAACTGGGCGATGGAAGTGTAGGAAAGAACTCCATGTGGGAAAATGGAAAATGGCAAGAAGAGTCTGAGAGTCTATTGCCAAAACAGAGTAATTGCATACCAAGCAGTTCTATGGGTGTTGGACAGAGCCTGAACTACTGTAGTTCTTTCTAAGCTGCCATTGCATTTGAGCTTTCATAGCCTCTGGAAAATATGCTTACCCTAACTGTTCTTACTCTTGCTTAACCTTTTCTTTTCTCCCCTACTTTGCTGCTTTATTTGCTTATCAGAGGAAGAAGGAATGCTCGAACAAGAAATCAGGTACTGACTAGAGGCCCCCTATCTAGAAAAATATGTGTATTATTTATTGTAAGAATTTGTTATCATTCAAGGGCCTATTTAAAAGATCCCTTCTTTGAAGGAAAAAGAAGAATGAATACAAAAGCCAACATTCACAAGAGGATAACTTTCCCAAACACACTCATACATATAGATAAATATACAAGGTTCTGCAGAGCTCTTAAAAACTGGTTTTATGGAAAAATAAAAATGCTGGCAGATTTAGTCTGTTAAATGGGAAGCATTAGTGTAGCTTAGCCAAGGTTTGTTCTGGCTCATAGCTTTGATCCAGATACCTCAATTTGAAAATTAAGATTAGGTTTCTTGAGAACATTGCTGAATTAACTTTCTTACAGTGGACAGTATAAAGGATGTGCAGATTACTGTTTGAAAGCTTACGTATTTTAATTTCTTGCTAACTTGGTGACTGAACTAACAGAGCTTATTTTTCAACCTGCAATTTTGCTTGAGTGTGATTCATGAAACCCTGTTCTCATCAGATCAATATACCCAAATCAATATATTCATTTATTTAAAAAAATGCTATTTCTTTCCCAAGGATTCGGGACAGGCCATTCCACTTGTGGTTGAAAGTTGCATTCGTTATATTAATTTATATGGTAAGTTGAATTGCTCCCCTTCACATTGGCCTCAAGATTTTCTTTTAAGGTTTCCGGCACAAGAATGTGTCTCCACTAAAATGCAAAATGATATGTCAGCTTATTTGACTAATTACATGGGACTCAGCCATTGTTATATTTAATAAATGCTTGTCTTAACCAAATGCTTGTCTTAACCAAAAAACAAAATACATTCTGAATGACAAATAGTTGGATATGGAATTATGTTCATTGACCAAATTATTTGCCTGGACACTTTTGACTGAAATCCAGTGAACTATTCCTTCTCTCTCCACTGCTGATGACTGATTTTTTTTTTTCATTTTGTTCTAGTATGAGCTAGGCAGTAACAGGGTTTAGGTCAGTAATGATGAATCTTTTAAACTCGGTGTGTCAAAAATTCAGAAAAAGCTTAACTTCACTCTATTGACATGTCTTCATCTCCCCCCCAAAACATAAACAATTCATAACAAAGAATCACTTTGGATAGTAATATGCACGCCACATAAGAACAGGAAAGCATGCCCTGTTCTTGTGCTCTTTGGAGGCTCCAGAGGCTGTGTGAGAGCCTATCATATTCTTGTTATGGCCTTTGGAACCTCCAAAAATCCATGATAATTTTCTACCCTTTTGAGAAGCTGCACAAGAATGCGGTGCAGCCTCTGGAGCTTCCAAAAAAATCATACAAGAACATTCTTGCACAATTTTCAGAGGCTCCAAAGGCTGCGTGAGAGCAAAGTCCTCTTGTACAACTTCCAGGTGGTCTGGAAGCTACACAAGCGTACACAAAACTCTAATGCAGCCTCTAAGTGTGTCACCACAAATGATATAACATGTCACTTGTGACAGTCATGTCATAAGTTCACCATCACTGCTTTAGGCCATATTGGGCTTACTTAAAGTCTCATCTGTTACTATAAATTCTTCTCTCCTTCTCTCCATGAACAGGAACTAAATCAGCAAAAGGTTGCATTGAAGCTGTAGTACAAGGGTCTTCAAACTTGGCAAGTTGTGGACTTCAACTCCCAGAATTCCTCTGCTAACATGGTTGGAGGAGGAATTCTGGGAGTTGAAGGCCACAGATCTTAAAGCTGTCAAGTTTGAAGACCCCCACTGTAGCAGAATAGGCAGAGTTATAGTCAATTGTTTCCATGCTAGAGTTTGCAGAATCATTCTGGTTTTCTTTCTTTCAAGGCAAGAGAATTCTAAATCAGATTTGACCACCTAAGCCTTCTCCATCATCTGAGTTAATCTTATCTGCTTGAACATATCAAAACAAATTGCATACGTAGGATTACAGGGAATTCAATGATTTATTTATAGGTATATGAGCAAGAAGATTACATGTAAAAATGGTAAAATATAGTAAATATATATATAGGAAGACCTAAATGTGAAGGTAACTAAAAAGATTGGGAATTGATTCCAAATAGTTTACTAAGCTTTCTTTTGAAAATATATATTTGTTCACTTCAGGTTTACAACAACAGGGTATTTTTAGAGTTCCTGGATCTCAGGTTGAAGTCAATGATATCAAAAACTCATTTGAAAGAGGTATGTAATTAGTTGGTCATTCTTATAAAGTGATTTGCTGTTGTTTTATTTTACATGTACTTATACATATACTTTCTGAATTCTGTCTCTGCCTTCTCCATATGTGATCAGAGACATAAGCCACTTCTTTTGAGCTTCCTCCATCCCATAGTTATCATTGTCTATGGAGATCATGCATCCAGATCATGGTTGCCCAAAGGTGCTTTTTCAAAGGACAGTTACACTTTGTTTTTCTTTGAAGACATTTCACTTCTCATCCAAGAAATGGATGAGTTCAGTTCAGAAGAACTTCTTGGATGAGAAGCGAAACATCTTCATGGAAAAACAGTTGTCTTTTGAAAAAGCACCTTGGGGTGTACTTAGCATTGTTTTATATATAATCATTTGGGATGTGCTACAAGATTTTGCTATACTGCTTCATAAAACTAAAGAATTATATATATTTTGACCATTCTTTATTAAACACAGGATTACATCACAAATCATATTAGGAGATATGATTGACTGTGAATTGTTGCATGCAGATGATGCAATCTCATTGGCTAAAAATTCAAATACTTTGCAATTAATATTAGATTAATTAGATAATATTAATTAGATAATATTAGATATGAGTCATGAGTATGAATCTGAAGTTTAATATAGCAAAATCAAAATAGAAACATTCAAAAAATAAATAAATTTTTGTACCTTGATAGCAAGTTGATTAAAGATGGAAAAATCTTTGGAGGAATATTAAGACATACAAATGTTGATAGAAAGTTCAGGGGCAATGAAGTCTATGACAAGGGAGAACTTTTGTTTGGAAGGGCATGATTCTTACCACTTTTATCACATAGAAGTAAGAGACGGTTATATTGAATGCAGTGGAATGGCATACTTATGTGCATAATGAAATGAGAAAACATAAGGTCAGGAATGAATGAATGTGGAGTCAACACAAAAATGAGTGAGCAACCAGTATGAGAGAAATACACTGAAGGGATTAAGTCATATAAAGACAAAGAATGAAGGTGGAATTGCAGAGCAAACACATGACAAAAAGTGAGGAAGATTGAAAAAATCATGGTTGAGCATAGTTGATGAATTCTCAAAAAGAAAAATGGTGAAAGGTTTAAAGAAGAAAAGACAGTGTATACATTGGTATCTGGATGCAGAAGAAATAGATGATTTGCAAGGTTGGAGGAGAAAAGTATAATAAACGGTGTTTATGGGAATTTTTTCCATTTCTTACTTGTACTGATTTCTTTTTTCATGTGTGCTTTCTATATTTTATTTTTATTTATTTATTTGATTTGTCAATTGCTTACAAGATAATAGGTATAAGTAAAAACATAGTTATGAATACATGGATACATATAAGAAAAATAAAAGAAACAATAGGACAGGGATGGTAGGCACATTGGTGCGCTTATGCACGCCCCCTACAGACCTCTTAGGAAAGGGGTGAGGTCAATAGTAGACAGTCTAAGGTTAAATTTTTTGGGGTTTGGGGAAGAAACCAGAGTCAGGTAGAGTATTCCAGACATTGACCACTTGTTGAAGTCGTATTTCCTGCAATCAAGTTTGGTGCGGTTAACCTTGAGTTTGTATCTATTGTGTGCTCTTGTATTGTTATGGTTGAAGCTGAAGTATTCATTGACAGGTACCCTGAAAGCCTATAGAGTGACGTGTTTGCATGTACATATTATTATCCTACATTATAGCATTATAGTTTGGCAGGATTATGATGATAATATGATGACAAGTACAGCAACAGGGAAGAGTTATTCAGGGAAGCTGATTTCCTAATTTTTGTAACAACTTTTTGTTACTATGCTGTGTTGTGTTTTCTGTATAATCTAGAATTGAAATCTAATGTTATAAATAAACCTTTTATCTCAGGAGAAGACCCCCTTGCTGATGATCAAAATGAACGTGATATTAATTCTGTTGCTGGGGTCTTAAAATTGTATTTCCGGGGACTGGAAAATCCACTCTTTCCTAAGGAAAGGTTTCAGGATTTGATATCTACTATAAGTAAGTAATTGATAATAGTTCAGTTTCTTGATTTTTGCATATTATTGTCATGGGGTGGTAAAGGTGCTTATGATTTATAGCTTTGCATTATTGCCAACCCAGCTTCTATAGTTTATTGCATAAAAAGTGGTTATAAACATGGCTAAGAGTAATGTGCGGTATGACCAAAAAACCAATTTTAATACTAATCTAAGCTGAATGACTTGGCAGAATATTGTGTTATATATATTGCAGAGTGTTTGCATATCTGTAATGGCTATGTAATTTATAATGTATTGTGTAGTTGAGAATGCAGCTCCCCTTTCTGTTTTCTTTGTTAAAAGCAAGAAGCTAAAATATCCTTTCAATAGTAAAAAAAAAAAATGGGGATTTTATAAAAACTGCATTCTCATAAGCAATATCAGCAACATAAATGAATATTCAAGGACCAATTTAATTGCATTGTAGTGTTCCATATTGTTTTTAAGTCATATTTGTAACATCTCATTTATATTACCTTGTCGATTGCTCTGTTCATATATATTGTGGAAACAAGTTTACAAATAAAATGAAACTTGACCTTTCTCATATTAAATTTATTTTTTCTTTTGTTTAGACTTTTTATTAATACAGAAAATTTTTATGAACAGTAAGTCCTCTAGGAAAAAGCATACTTGAACTAATCTACAATCTCATTTAACTGTCCTCCTACTTGCAATTTATTTTGCACACTCCATTGGTTGTAGTTTGGGGAATTCATCCTTATTAAAGAGGAACATTTCTCTTGCTCACTTTCTGAATCTTAATCTTGCACTGTTTTTATCTAGTGATGATAAAGGTTACACATGAGGTTTAAGGTTTGCATACTCTTCTTAATCCTTCCTTCAGTTGTATATTGCAGGGGTCTCCAACTTTGGCAACTTTAAGACTTGCGGATTTCAACTCCCAGAATTCCTCAGCCAGCTTTTGAGGAATTCTGGGAGTTGAAGTCCACAAGTCTTAAAGTTGCCAAGTTTGGAGACCCCTGGTATATTGTATAGTGCATTCATTACTTAGAAGATCGTCAAACAGGTGCTGATTTTTTTTTAACCTACTATATCATTTACTTTGTCAGCAATGTTATGTGGTGATGTAATAGATGCCTTTGGTTGGGGATGGTCGTGCGATGCAGCATTGAAGTAATGATCTCCTTTCTATGGTTAAGATGTTCATTGTTGTGTTGGATCAGCTGGGTATTCCATCCAGTTCAGAATTAAAGAACCTGAAAGCAATATTAGATTTAAAAATACACTAATCACAAGGGCAATACTATAAAATAAACCTGGAGAACATTAGCCTTCTGGCAAGATGCAACAGGCAATTTCTGCAGAAATATTAGAGAGACAAAAGAAATTTATAAGCACACAAATAATTTAAATAGAGATGATGGATCAACTGTTATCCTACTGCAGTTAGCAATTATTTGTGGCATACTGCTTCACTGAACATAAGCAGTATATAAAGACGTGACAGCTATTATTGCATTCAGTTTTAGATATACTCTGGAGAAGCTAACAATAAGGCTACTGAAACTTCAGTATACATTCATTGTCTCACAAGGCAATCTCGTAAGTCATTTCACCAATCACTTGCAGCAGTGAAACCTATCTGCTGTGATTAAATGACTAGATGGCTTTTATTCATTACAATTCCTGTCATACTTTCTAAATTTTTGCAAGTTCCTTACCTATGGAGATACTTATGATTTATTCATGCATATTACAAAGGAAAATAAATATTCCAAAAATTGGGAAGGGAAGGAAAACCAACTCACCCTCATTCCAAATTTGAAGGTTCTACTTCCACAAAAATACATTTTGAGTTGTGCAGATGCTTTGATTTATTTCTATGCTGCAGGCCATTTTCACAGTTCTACTGATTAAGTAAAATTTTAAAAAAGGTCCTTTCCTGTTTCTAAAAATTCCATACACACAACACCAAAAGTTCTGTGTATAGGTGACTGAGCTATCAAGACTTTGCATCCTGTCTTGCTAAGTCCTATTAGGAGAATTTATACACAAATCTTGAAGAAATGGTACACTATGCCCAACCCTTGTTTACAAACAAGTAAATACATTTTAAAAAGAAAGAGAATAAGTGTATTGTTCAAACAAAATGGCCGACGAATTTTGAGAGTGAAGTCCACACACTTTATAATTGCAGAGTGTTGGGAAACACTGCTTTAAAGTACAACAAAACCCCAAAATCTAAAAGCTGGTTGTAAACAACAATTGTTGAACCAATTTATTTTGTATCTGGCAGGTATGATTCCCTTAGATCAGGTGCTTTTATGCCATTTTGTCGTAACATATAAATAGCAATAGACTTATATTATATACCATTTCATAGTGCTTTACAGCCCTCTCTAAGCGGTTTACAGAGTCAGTATATTGCCCCCAGCAATCTGGGTTCTCATTTTATTAACCTTGGAAGGATGGAAGATTCAGTCAACCTTGAGCCAGTGAGACTACTGAACTACTGGCAGTCGGCAGAATTAGCCTGCAATACTTTATTCTATATGTAATAATGTGGTGAATCTCTTCTCAGTTTTGCTCTTGGATTACTATGTCTTTATTTGACAGTTTTCAGATATTTCCTACTTGTCTGAGAAAGGGCAACTTGGTGTGCAAAGAGAAGAAAGTGCCTATACCACAGAATAGCAGATTGTTTTGGGAGGTTGACTTCCAAGTTGTTTGTCTTTGATTGTGTCTGAAAGAAACCCAGTCAACTGTTTGACTTGTTCTGGTATCGTTTTTGTTACTGTGAACTGCTTCAAGTTAAGGGTACATAGACAAATGTTGGGATGCATGTACAAATAAATAAATGAGAGGTTGAATCTGAACACATTTCATTTTTATGTTACAGAAATTGAAAACACTGCCGAAAGAGTGCACCAGATCCAGCAAATCATTATCACCTTGCCACGAGCTGTCATCATTGTAATGAGATACCTCTTTGCTTTCCTTAACCAGTGAGCATTTTTTTTAACTATTTACTTTGAATGCAGCTGTAAATAGCCTTCCCTGGTCAATATTCTTCCCTTTTTCAATGTTCTCTTTTTCCTCAAACCTAGCACTGGGCAAAAGGGAGACGTGTCCCTTGACCATCATTACTTGTAATTATTGCCTTTTGCCCAGCTGGAGGAAATGCCTGTACAGCATTATATGTGTAATACTTGAAGCTTGGTGTGGTAGCTGTGGGTTACTTATATTTGCAGCTTGTCGCAATACAGTGATGAGAACATGATGGATCCCTACAATCTAGCCATCTGCTTCGGACCAACTTTGATGCATATTCCAGATGGGCAGGATCCAGTGTCCTGCCAGGCTCATGTCAATGAGGTCATCAAAACCATCATAATCAATCATGAGGCCATCTTCCCTACCCTCAGGGAACTCGAAGGACCTGTTTATGAAAAATGCATGACTGGTGGGGAAGAGTACTGGTAAGAAACTTAGGAATGAAATATGTGCCTTTAGTATCTTAAGAAGGCTAGGAATTTCTTCTCTTTAAAGCGTGGGATGCTTATTTCAGGTGTTCTTAATTTAAATAGTAAGTTGATGCACGGTTATTTCTCTGCCCAGACTGGAATGGATTGTTGTGCACATATGAACTGTAAGGAATAATTATTTTTGTTTCTAAATCTCTTGAGTTGCCCGGGAAGATTTCAAATAATGTTGTGCTAATGCAGTGTAGGAATCAATGGAAGTTAAGAGCCTAATTCATTTTCAGGTCTTTTGAGAACATAAATAGAGATTGCTTGGAACCAGTTTCACTCAATCCAACATTCTTCTTTCCATAGGGGAAACCCAAATTCCTTTTTTAAAAGCCCATAATCAGGGCATGGGTTGGATCTATTAACCCCTAACTACCTTTGTTCACAATCAATTGATATTAGTTTATGTTCTCCAAATGTGGAGTTCTGTCTTATTTTTGAAGAAGCTACCAATCTCTTGCCACCGTTTTTGTTTCAATGATTTTGCTTTTTAGTACTTGTAATATTGATTTCAGCATGAAGAAATACAGTAATCCAAATATATAAACATACAATATATACACACACACACACACACACACACACACACACACACACACAATATATATAAAATAAATAAAGGGGGCATGCATAAGCGCACCAACGTGCTTACCGTCCCTGCCCTATTGTTTCTTTTTATTTTTCTTATATGTATCCATTTCATGTATTCATAACTATGTTTATACTTATACCTGTTATCTTATAATCGCTTGACAAATAAAATAAATAAATTCATCTATCAAGAGTTGTAATCTTTAGCACACATTTTATTAATTTGGGACATGTTTTGATACATTAGTAAGATTTGTTTAGACAAAAGTGACAAGACTTTTCAGGATAAAAACCACACTTTCTCCTTGTGTCCACACTGGTGAGGCTTTGGACACCACAGTAGGGTTGCTGGGAGTAATAGGTCAGCCATGTGTTTCCTAACTCTAGTTTGAATAGAATAAACATAATCTTATATCCAGTAACTGGAGTCATCTTTTCCATCAACTTTACATTATTCTGAACAAAAGTTACTATTTAAAGATTGTTTCCTGGCTATATGATACTTTGTCCTTAGGTGAGATCAGGTCTTTCTTTAGTCTCTGTTGATTATAGCTGCCACAACTCTTACTGATTGCAGTTCATGAGAGTTGAAGTCCGAAACTTATAGAATGCACCAGGTTGCCAAGGGATGGGTTAGATTTTAATTATTGGGTACATCATGAAGACATTGCATTAGAGCAAACAGTGAAGGTTCTTAAAAGCATTTATTTTGTTTATTTTACAGTTCACTTTTGTTTAACAGTTCATTGTCTTGATGGGCTTAGCAATTACACTAAACTGATAATTATTCCCAAAGCTAACAATTAAATCCTATACACATCTACTCAGAACTAAGTCCAGTTCACTTCAGTGGGATTTGCTCCCAGGTAAATCTATATGAATGAAGCAATGTTGATGGAAAAAAATGAAAAAGAACTGAAACTATTTTAAATCACAGTGAAGCTAAGACCAACACCTCTTCTATATTGTTGATAATAAAACTGTGTAAATTTGTCCATGAAGTCATAAGGAGTTGACCATGACTTGAAGGAAGCTACATGTAGCTGCCAATTGTTTCAGGTTCAATAGGTTTCCAGCAGTTTTTCATGTAATCTTCTACATGGTCTTTGCCCCACTATCTGGGGCAACTATCTGGGACACTTCGCTCCAGAAGGTGATTTCCACCCTGGACTCCTCTTTTCTGGTTTGTACAGCAGCGGAGAACTTAAGATAGCTGCTGATCTGGAAAAGAAAGGCAGTCCTAACTGGTGACAGAAGCCACTTAGGATGGTAGTAAAACTTTGTGTGAAAAAGCACAAAGTAGTTTTTTCTTAAAACAATTGTTAGCAGGAATGGGAGCAAATAACAGCAGGAGCAGATGGTGATGATAGCAATGACAGTTCATCTCATGCTGTCTAGCTCCTACTTTCCAGGCACCAATGCATTCTTAATAGGCTTTTGTGACAGACTAAAATCTAAAGAACAGATCAATGAATGTCTGTTTCCATTAGATCTGTTATATAAAATGGGACAAGTCCACAAAGACTGTGTTTCCTATTATGTCAGCTTAAAATTTCTTCTCAAACACAAAACAGATGTTCCCATCCTGCTAAGGTGGGGATATGGCTAGCAGGCAATAACTATGTCAGTTTCTTGGCATGGGCCCATTAATCGATAATCAGTCTCCTGCTACATAATTAGTACTTTAGTTGTGGATAATGGGAGAATGTAGAATTATGCCTTCAATCCTAATTTTCATTCCTTGAACAAATACATTAGACCTATTGCCATGAGACAGAAATATATAAACAAAGAATAAACAAGTTCCACCAAAATTAATATAGACTTTTGTTTGAATTAGTACTTATACTTTTAAAGAACTCTTTTTAATCACTGCACAAAATACAAGGCAATAAGAAATCAGGGTCTAGGACAACTTGCAATGGCCAACTTGTCATGGTCATTTCACCAGAGCCAACCTGCCGTGGCCATCTCATCACAGTCATCTTGTCACAGCCAATTTGCCATGGGACAACTTGCCTTGGCTAACTCACCGTGGGACAACTCACCCTGGACAATTTCATGCAGGATGACTGAACATGATAAATGCTGTCCACCACTATTTGTTTTGATATTATTTCCATTTTTTTCAATAGAATTAATCTTGAAGAAATAATGGCAGATAACATTTATTGTGTTGAATTATCCACATGGAATTGTTCCTTGGCAAGATGGCCATGGTGGTTTGGCCGTGGTGAAATAGCTGTGGTGAGATGGCCATGATGGGATGGCCGTGGCAACTTGTTCCTTTCCATGGTAACCAGGCCCAGTTCTACCACAAGATGAGGGAAATTCTTTAATTCACTTGGAGCAGAACAAGTAAACGGATGCCTGTCCTTTACTATCCATAACTGTTTAATGAAGGGCTCTTACCAATCACTTTGAACATTGCAACAGCCCTTTTCTTCATGATCAAAACTTCATTGTATAGATGCTGCCATCAGGTGCCACTACTGTCAGACATCACTCAACTTTCATGCATGTGCTTATTTCTGAGAAAGAACTATATATTTTTCCATCAAGGCATTCAGCTTGCCAGAGTTGGGGAGAAAAATTTAAAATATTTTCCTTCCACGGCAGCTAAGTCATGACAGCACAAACAGTGGCTTAGGACTGTTTAGCATTTTCAGAACTCACCTAACTATGCCAATGTTTGTTTCATTTTTCGAGTGAGGCATAATGGGCAAGATGGCATTATATTTGGCTACTGGTAGTGCCATTGAAGTTGTTGCTGTGTTGTTACAATGAAAACTGCTTAATTGGGCTCCTCTTACTATGTGGAGAAAGAATGATAGGAGGAGCAGTAAACAGCAAGATATTCAACAATGCAGATACAGTTGAAGCAGAAATGTAGTAGCAGATTTGCTGAAGATAAAATTGTATTGCAAACTAATCCTAGTAGGATTCATATTCATCCAAGATATTCTCTCTCTCTCTCTCTCTCTCTCTCTCTCTCTCTCTCTCTCTCTCTCTCTCTGTGTGTGTGTGTGTGTGTGTTTGTGTGTGTGTATATATATATATATGTTTGTTTTGCGGGTATTTATATGTATGATATTCAGCTTTGTTCGGGTATAATATATAATGTAGTGTAATGACGTGGGAAAATACCCAAACAAAGCTGAATACTATACATATGTATGTATGTATGTATGTATGTATGTATGGTATAGTATATATATATAAAAACATTCTCATGGGTATGCAGACTGGTATTGCAGGGTTTTTTTTTTTTAATAAAGTCTGAAATTGTTCAGAGGAAAGTAAAGTTTCCTGCATTTACTTGTTAGCAAGGAGTCCATATCTCTTTTCCCTTTTATCCCCATTAAAAAAAAACTCAGTGCATTTATTTATTCCACTTTTGATTCCAGTGACAGCCCACACAGTGAACCGGGCACTATTGAGGAAGGAGATCATGACAATGGCACAGAGCCACACACCAGCGATGATGGTGAGTGTAGAAACAAGTCATGGGTAATTGTGTCTACAAAAAGCTACCAACATTTACATTGTGAAATGCTTAACGTGCATTTAATAACTAACCAAATTTCCCTAGATTAACATATATGGCTATTTGCAGGAGAGGATGTCTCTCTATGTTTGACACTACCAATAGCTATTAATAAAATTCCTTGAAATATGTGTGATTGAAGTAGGGATGGGATATTCCCACTGTTGTCATGATTGAATTCCAAGGCAAAATGGAAGTTATTCTGACAGCCTGCTTAATAAGTTAAAATTCCATTTTTCTGTTTGACATGAAAGTGTTTGATTGTTATTTTACCTAGCTCCAGTTTTATGGTAAGAAAAGGAAATGGAAAAATGTTCTTTGAAAAAAAAAGTCTCGGGCATCAAGGACATGAATGTGTGTATGTCCTCAATTTACAACAGTTCATTTAGTGACTGTTCAAAGTTACAACGGCACTGAAAAAAATAACTTATGCCCATTTTTCACACTTATGACCATTGCAGCATTTCCATGGTCACGTGATTTTCATTTGGATGCTTGAGAACTGACTCACATTTATGATGGTTACAGTGTCCTGGGGTCAGGTGATCAATTTTTGCAACCTTCTGACAAGCAAAGTCAGCGGAGAAACCAGATTAACTTAACAACTGTGGTACTAATTTAACAACTGCAGTGATTCACTTAACAAATGTGACAAGAAACATTGTAAAATTCATGTCACAAATTTCTCACTTAGCAGCATAAATTTGGGGTTCAATTGTGATCATAAGTTAAGGACAAACTGTACTTATATTTCTAGTTTATAATATGTTTCCCAGGAAGAAAAGAATAAAAAGCAACCTTTAAGTGTAGGGAAAGATATAACTGACTGCATTTTGAAACTGATGACCCTTGTCAGATTTTTTGGTTGACTTTGGGTCAAGTGAAAACTAACTACCGTGTTTCTCATATAATAAGGCCGGGTCTTATTTTTTTTTGAGCCCCGAAAAAATGGCTAGGCTGTCTTTTTGGGGGTGACTCAATCCCCCCCCCCACTTGCATCTTTGGGCGGGCGGGCAGCGATGGCTTGGATGTTGACCTCGGCGTTGGTGGGGCACTTCGTATCGGGGTCAACGCAGGCAGCACCATATCCGGCTGTGCAACAAAAGTACTTCCTAATGGCAAGCCCCCCCACCATTCCCCCCCATTTTGCATGTTTTAATATAGGCCTTAATTTGGGGGGAGGGGCTTAATTTCATTTCATGCCTATAAAACATGCTGGGACTTCCTATTGGGGGAGGCCGTATTGTTGGAGAAACAGGGTAAGGTAAACATATCTTAATTGTGCAGTCTATTTCTTTGTTTCCTGGATTTATTTGAACGATTGTATAAAGGTATTGAAGATTATTACCATAAGAGTTGTGTGCATAATACTAACATGGTGGTGACATTCCCCAGACTTACGGTCTTGGGGAACTTTATCAGATTGGCAGAGTTAGAGATAGCACAGAACTTTTTGGCCACCGTGGCAGCCATATTGGATATATTGTTGGGATGAGACATCTGTACATTAGATTCATGTCCCTCTCAGTTAGTTATGAGAGAGGGGACATCTGGGTAGGTCCATGTGGTAGTAAATACCTCTTTGAAAGAGGAGTTGGCTCATCCATCCTTGGATCCAAGTGTTCAGGATAATTTGTTCTAGAGCAGGGGTGTCAAACATGCGTCGTCACGTGATGTATCAGGACTTTTTCCCCCTTTGATAAACCGGGCGGGGGTGGGTCAGCATGTGACATGTCTGGCCCGTGGGCTGCGAGTTTGACACCCCTGTTCTACAGTCTCCAACTTTCTTTTAGGAAAGGATGTTGAGAAGGTGGTTGGTTTATAAGGTTCCTGGAAAATGCTGATTTTCCAAACCCTTTTCACTCAGAGTTCAAACTGGGATGCAGCACTGAGGTGGCTTTGGCTGCACTTGTTCATGATCCGTGGTAACCCTGAAATAGGTTTGGTGTATCCATCCTGGCTCTTCTTAATGTGGCCTTCAAACCAGCGGTGGGATTCAAAAATTTTTTACTACCGGTTCTGTGGATGTGGCTTGGTGGGTGTGGCAGGGGAAGGATACTGTAAAATCTCCAGTCAGAGGTGGTATTTGCTGGTTCTCCGAACTACTCAAAATTTCCACTACTGGTTCTCCAGAACTGGTCAGAACCTGCTGAATACCACCTCTGCGTCAAACCCATTGACTAGTTGAGGGGGGTTGAGAGTAGAGAGCACCATTTTATGGTGGTTCTCCTCCTTACTCCAAGGCAAATTCCAGTTAGTGCTGGAGTAGCAAAGCCCTTAGGTCCTTGCTTTGTGGGTTGCCTCAGGTTCTACCTTCTCTTTCCTCCTTTTTAATACTTTTTAAAACTGCTGGGTAAGGTCATCTCCCCTTGCATGATTGAAAAGAATGGGGAATAATAATATATCAGTTAAATATTTTTGACACATCTTTCCCTGTCTCACAAAAATAATTTTAAATTGAAAAATCTATACAGGATTAAATGACGAAGCTCTGAGGAATACAGTTCTATTTCCTCATTCCATGTTATATTTATATCTATTTATGTCCATTTACTTTTGAATGTTAACTTTCAGAACACATTTTTTTTGTATCTGCACACATAATATAGCTACTTGATCACATCCCCCACCCACACAAGTATATTTGACATCAGTATAAAGTAATATGCCTAGAAACAAACGTTGACTTATTTTACCATTTAGGGAACCTTATTATAGAACCCTGTATTTTACCTGAACTTAGCATGCCTGTGTTTCATTTGTTTTTACGGCTTTTAGTTCCATTAATTCTTTCTCTTTAGTGATGCAAATATCCAAATCCAGTACCTTACCAGTACAAGTTATGGGAAAATTGACATAATTGTTTATTGGAACTAAGGGCATGAGAGGAGAAAAGGATAAGTCAGCTAATTGAAGATGAATGTTTGAAAGGAGCAGGGTGATGTCAACCTTCATTTTTCAGTGTGGGTGACAAATAGCCTTTCTTGACTGAAAAAGTTGAAGCAAGCAAGCTTCTATTTCGGCAATTTTATGCCTGAGTGGTTATGTTTATAGTTTTGATTGGAGTTTCTGGGTGATTAACCAAAACACAAGCATGGAGAGGAAGAGCTGTTTTATTTTAAGAATTTATATAACCTCTCTGAGTCTAATTCCATATATCTGGTCCAGTGTACTGGGGGGGAATTAGATATTTTATCTAGATTGTGTGGATATTTTTGGAAGTCATCTTAAGACGATATACAGTATTACTACTAAAAGTTGCTTCATTTGAACCACACAAAGGCAGATGGTGTAAGATAACCTTTCCCAAATGCTGCTCTTCATACATTCAGGGTTACAATTCCCATATAATGTCTAGCTGATGTTAAAGAGCATTTTAGCAAAAAATGTAGAGGACCAGTTAATTTAGACTGAGGGCTGTTTCTCAGTATTGCTGTACCAAGATTATAACATATGAAATCTGTTTCATAAGAAGTCTGCTGTTTTCTGCCTTTAAGCAGACAAGAACATTAAAGTTCTGCTGGATCTGATTAAGGTTCATGTTATTCAACATTCTGGTTTGAATGGCAGATAGCCAGGAGTTTATTAAAAAGATGATGCTTCATAGTACACAGAACGGTTTATTGCTAGCATTAGATAGTCCTGTATAAATCTCTTCAGACTCATAGAGATATATTTTGGATGCTAGGTCTCATGGCATCAATAAAGTTAAACTCATAAACCTGGGTATTTTTATTTTTAAGCTACTTTTGGCTGGAAATAGTTATAGCTTTTAAAAAGAAATAGTTTGAAAGACAATTCTTGCTCAGGATATGTATGCTTCTCCCATTTTTGCTACATCAGAAGTGATTATTGATTTGATTGTGTGCCACCAAGTGGAGGTCAACTGACCACTTTGTCTACTGAGGGATTTAAGCTAACTTCATATTTCCTGGGACTCTAAGATCCCGTCCCCCTTCAATTTATCAACATGTAAGGAATCTTATACCAGCTGTCAGCTACTACCCCTCCCTTCTTTCCCACTTGCACTTCAATTACGAGGTAGTACCTTAACATTAAGGTGACAATATTCTGTTTCCTAGGAAAAGTAGCAAAAATATCCTTCACAGAAATATATTTAGATAAGAAACATTCATGCCATTCCAGGAATACCTTACTGCATTAGACAAACTATAGTGAGTTTTAATCAATTCTCTGTAATTTGATCTTTCTTTACTGCTGTTCACCCAACTTTATAGAAGTGGAACAGATTGAAGCTATTGCCAAGTTTGACTATACAGGACGATCCCCACGTGAATTATCCTTCAGAAAAGGAGCTTCCCTTCTCTTGTACCATCGGGCATCTGAAGACTGGTGGGAAGGTCGCCATAATGGCGTAGATGGTCTCATACCACATCAATATATTGTAGTACAAGACATGTAAGTAATTTTTTTTTATTGCATAGCAATTTGTATTTGTAATCACTAAAAATATAAAACTATACATAGTACAAAGGTGCTTTTTCAGGAGGCTAAATAGACATTTAGCTATACGAAGTACAGTTTTAGTCTTCTAAGGAAAATGGGAAATTAGTATATTGTTTATGAGTTTTGCCTGAGTTTTGAGGTATTGCTGTTATTTATGTTGATTTTCTTCTTTCCTTACTTTTCTTCCCAACATTTACATGTTTCTTTGCTATAAGCTGCATTTCAGGCAAAGAACTATCTCACTTCTTGAACTATTAGTGTGACCCATTGGGTAATTCTTTCAGAAATATTTCCTTACCTAAACAGAGAAGCAGAGTTACTATGGGTGAGCCAAAAAAAAGCAGTGGGAATAGGAGTGAGCTTCCCCATTGGCATTGCTTGTGAGAAACTGGCAAAGAGCTCATGAATCACTCTTCCTCCTCCTTGGTTGACCTGCAGAACTGCCTGACAGTTTCCTGGGGGGAAGAACAAAGAGAGCTGTGGACCACAAGGAAAATTTCCCCCCCCCTCACCAACCCTGTGTCCTAAGGACTCCTTTCCTCCAATGAAGAAAAGGGAAATCTGTTGACCACCAATGCACCCAGTGAGCCCTATCTTGCTATCAGATATTTGAGTAGTTCCCTTGTCCTTCCCTCACTCACCCACCACTTTTAAGAGATTTCAAATTTTGGCTTCCTTTCCAAAGCGGTCAATCACACTCAACTGAGTGCAGATGCCAGACGGAAGTGGCAAAGAGAGTGGGGATTTGGCTGTCCTATCTCCCCTTACGCCTCCAGGTTTCTGAGAAGTATAGTCAGAAGGCATGGTATGCTGAAGCGACCACAACTCCCTCAAATTTCATTCCAACAGGAGTCTTATCAATTAGCATGTTGAGTTACCTTGGTTCAATAACTATTGCCCTATACTTTCCAGTTTCACCCAATTGAAGGTTTCAGTCAAACAGACCTGAGAATTTTAGTAGTATATAGATATGCAAATATAAAAGATTAGGACTAGCAGCAGAAGCAACAAAGTTATACACTACATTGCGTTTTGTTAAAAGAGGATTTAAAATGATTTGATGTTATGTACAGAGAGCTTTACCTGGAAAAAAACAACAAGCACAGTGGGACAAATATACATGCAAGTTATAAAAGTAATTAGTGACAACATGAGTGTACTTCAAGTGGTTTACTGTACAAATCAATCTACTCAGAAAATAGAATTTAACAAAATATAGAGAAAACAATTACCCTACCGTAGGGCTATCAAACTCCCAGTCCATAGGCTGGATGCATTATGCACTGGCCACGCCCATGCCCCGTTTAGCAAAGGGACAAAAGTTTCAATATGTCACGTGACTGTTTTGTAGCTTCAATATTTTTTAAAATGATATAATTAATTTTTAGATACTTTCCATTTAAATGCCATCTACTCTGAATAGGTAGTACTCTCCCTTGTAGTAGCAAGGCCTGCATCATCCTAAAGGCAGTTACTTTCCTGTACCTTTGTCTTTTAAAAAAAAATGACATTGGAGGTAAAATTAGAGAATGTTTTCAACTTGAAGAGTGTGCTTAGGTTTCTTTCAACAGCATTCTAAAAGTAAATGGATGTAGCCAACTTTCATGTATTTATTCATTTTGTATGACTGCCCATCTTAACAAGTGAGACTGGGCAGCTATACAGATTAATAAATTAATATTTTTCCTTTATTTTTAATGTTTTAATATGTACTTTTTTTACTGTTGTAACTGCCCCTGGTAATAAAGGAAAATATCGTTGTTTCTGCTTTTTCTAACAGACAGAAGGAGGAAAGGGAGACTAACTGGAGTGGTTAGAGCTAAGGTTTGAGGAAATGTATTATAAATGTTTGGTAAATATTTTTAAGGGTAAAATAGGTGCCTTAAGCTAGTGCAGACCTGGAGGCATCCCTCTTGCCCTTAGCCTTCACCAAAAAATGAATGAATGAATGAATGGAAGGAAGGAAAGAGAAAAAGAAAGAAAAAAAGATTAGAGGTAGAGATAATATTCTCACTGGAGGTTTTACTGATTTATTTTAATGTATCCAGCTAATCAGTAGAAATGTATGTATTATCAACACTATGAACAGTATATTTGTAAGATCAGATAATTATTATAAAAAAAATAGCACTGAGAATTATACTACAAAGAGAAGAGTGCCCACCAAATGAACATATTGCTTTAAGTCTTTTCCTTGCCTTTTCATATATATATAATATAATGTAATAAATGTGGAAGCGGTTCTCAAAATTAAAACCAACCTTGGAGTTAAATTGTCTTACTCAAAATAGAACTGAAAAGAATTCTAGACCCCCAGTTTAGATTTCTTTTAATTTGCATCACAATGGGTAGTTTTCATTTCCAAATTCTTCATGGACATTGTTATGCCCAAGTGACCGAATTAGAACTTAATGTAAAGCCCAGGTCTTTTCTAGATTTTCTAGATTATTACTGTGGTCCAGTGCCATCAAATCCGATATATTCTGCTATCTAGAGTAACCAGTGAGGACCACATACTCAAGTGGTAATGAAATGAGGTTAGGAATAGAAATTTCTGTTCTATCTGTAAAATATAACATGCCTTCAGGACAAAATACAATCTCTACTCTTCAGAATTTCTGTGAAGATAATAACTGTGAAGATGAGAAATGACAAACTCTGTTTTAGGATGTCAGAACACAACCCCCAGCATGTCCTACATGCGTCATTGCAACATCATTTCGTCTTCTATTTCATCACTTGCTGACCATTAGACCTCCCCCCAAACAAATGATTGTGTTAACAGATGATCTCTGTGGACACATTGTTGACAACTAATTCCATTGTTGACAACTAACCATGTTGTCATTTGAAACAGTGTTGTTGGTGTGATGCAGCCAATTGAGTTTCTTTTTTAAAGAAAAAGCAACATTCACTGAAATATGAAAAATATATGTGTAATGACAGCGGTGGAAGCCTTTTCTTTGAAAGAGCTAAGGAAAAAAAATTCCCTTAAAAATGCAGGCTGAACAAGACTTTTCTTTTTCTAAATCCGATCCATTAGATTCTGGTAGTAGCTGCTACTGTTCACCTATCTTTTTGACATAGTCTTCTCAATAAGTTAGGGACGTGTGCTAAATATTGACTGCTACCCTGTGAGAAAAAAATAGCATTTATACCAACCAAATGTTTACAAATGCTTTACAGCTATTTTTTTGTTGTTGTTGTTCAAACATCTCTAGTTATCAGAGACCGTCTGGACAAGTGCTTGTTGGTTTTTTGGAATAGTTTTTCAGAAGTGGCTGGCCACTGCCTCCTTTCTAGGACTGAGAGAAAGTGAATGATACAAGGTCCTCCAGTTGATTTTATGCCTAAGGCAGAACAAGAACTCACTGTCTCCTGGTTCTTAGCCTGATAAAACCATTACATCAAACTTTACAATAAACAGTTGTAAAATTAGAGTGGTGGAAGAAATATCCTTCTGGGTTCAGTTCCAAGTGGGGAAGAAAGACACTGGAAACATGGTGACTGCTTGGAAAGATGGTTTAATGGTGGACAGGACCATATGGCTTGGAGCTCCAAAGTGAAAAGGAGATGACATGCTTCAAGATGTTGGGTAAAAGAAAAAGGGGCAAGATGCAGAGAGACCCTTAGTTTTATACCCTCTATTGGGCCACACCTTAGTATTTCCTGTTCCTGTGAAAGAAATGTATCCCATTGGCTGTCAGACTCCCAAGGGTGGGGGGTCTTAGCTAACTTTGTAGGCTTTGGACCACATGACTTCACCTGAGTGCTGGCTGATGCAATCTTCTCAGGCCCTGTGGTGAGATGGGTAGAGGGCTTTGTTATGTAGAATATTCTGGCCCAGGCCTTAATGGCCCACCCATTAACAAAAGTGGGGTGAGCTTCTGCTTCTGAGGTGAGTTTCTGCTACTGAGTTTCTACTTTTCTTTTAGGGGAAATATTCTGCCTTTTTAATATATCCTAAAGTATTTCATTTTTTCTAGGAGGGGGATAAAACTTCCAACAAGAATAAGTCAGGTAGCTCTGCATTTATATGCTCCAATCCTATAGGACACAGTGTGTAAACTTTATTGGCATCCAGCCATAAGAAAAGAGAAGACTTATGCATGAGATGAAAAAGAAAGTATGTTTAGGCCTGTATATTGTGTACAGAGGATTTATGTATAGTTTTCAGATATGAGCAGGCAACAAGGTAGAAACCTAAGCTTTTCTGATATCTAGAATAGAATAGAACAGAACAGAATAGAATAACAGAGTTGGAAGGGACCTTGGAGGTCTTCTAGTCCAACCCCCTGCTTAGGCAGGAATCCCTATACCATTTCAGATAAATGGTTATCCAACTTCTTAAAAACTTCCAGTGTTGGAAGTTCAGTACCCCTAAATAATCAACTAGAATCATAGAACTGGAAGAGACCTTGGGAGCCTTCTAGTCCACCCCCACTACCCAAGGCAGGAGACCTTATACCATCCTGTACAATGGGTGTCCAATGATTTCTTGAAAACCTCCAGCGATGGAGCACTCACAACTTTGGGAGGCAAGCTGTCCATTGATTAATTGTTTTCACTGTCAGGAAATTTCTTCTTAGTTCCAGGTTGGGTCTCGCTTTTTAACAAGATCCACCCATTCCTTTTTGTCCTAGCTTCTGTTGCTTTGGAAAATAAGTTGATCCCCTGTTCTCTGTCACAGCCCTTCAAGTATTGAAAGACAGCTGTCATGTCACCCCTAGTCCTTCTCTTCATTAGGCTAGACATAACCTAGTTCCTTTAACTGTTTATCATACAGGTTAACCGCAGCAAATCCATTGCTATTTTACCCACCCGTTGGCACAAATTAATGAACAAGTTTTTCCCTCATTAAGTATGAAGCTCAGCCTAACAGAAATTTTTGTTATTCATAGGGATGATGCCTTTTCCGACAGCCTTAGTCAGAAGGCAGATAGTGAAGCAAGCAGTGGACCTCTGTTGGATGATAAAGCCTCATCAAAGAATGACATACAGTCTCCAACAGATCATATTTCAGACTATGGATTTGGAGGAGTAATGGGACGGTAAAAAAAAAACAACCAACACTTTATTCTTATTTGGATGCAATTATCTCTCTTCCCCATTCTTTTCTGGCTACAGGCAAAACAACCTGAATACATAGACCTTGGAAAAATTATCAGCTGACTTAACACAGTTAGTGTCAAGTTTAAACTGGAAGAAGTATGCATATTGATTTATTACACTGTGTCCACTATAAATCAAGTAGACTTTAGGTTGCTTATTATAGTGGAAGCAACAAAAATAACTTTAAAAATTACAACAACATGAAATTGTTAAATTATTAGCATCCACAAAAACATTACACTGGAAAGATGTAGTTAAGAATTATAATATCCATTGTTTTGTAAAGGCTAGAAGTTAGCCACAGGGTTCAAGCCATTGCATAACACTATAGCAGCCATTGAACAGACTTTTCTTCTCCTTCACTCTCATATTGTAACTTCTTCAGGGGGAGGAATGTGAGGCACGTCATTCTTATTGGATCATGGAAGATCATAAAAGCATGAATTCTTCTCAGAACAGACTGTCCCAAAGGTAGCTTGTACCAGTCCCTGCAGGCATTTGTAGGTCATAACCAAAGGTTTGAAATAAACCTGGAAAAAATAAGCTACCAATGCAGTGCCCCACAATACTGGGTGTAATTTTGTTAAAATAGCTCCCACCTCTTGCAGTCATTAGCTATCCTATTTTATACTAGCTGAAGTTCCAAGTTATCTTCAATGGCAATCACCCTTGGAGGTTATTGCAGGAATCCAGCCTGGAAGTAACAAGGGCAAGACTTATGTGATCAGGGATCTCTGTTCAAAAAACACCAAGACAGAGTGGGGTCAAGGCATCCCTGATCATGGTGTCTTATCTGCTGAACAAGCAGAAGCCATGAAGACATAATTCCCAGATCATAGATCTGTTCCTTCAGAGGATGTGTTCCTTCCTCTGGAGAAAACCTGATAATGAGCCAGATGGTTTCTGGTCAAACAGTAACTCATATTTTAATGGAAATCAGTCTAAGCTTCTTTCATCCCATCCATTCCCTAACAGTCTGGATCAGGGGTGTCAAACTCACGTCATCATGGCATCTTCATATGACATATTGGAACTTTCCCCCCCTTTGCTAAACCAGGCATGGGTGTAGCCAGCACATGATGCATCTGGCCCGTGGGCCAAGAGTTTGACAGCCCTGATCTAGTTAGTGAGTAAAAAAATATATTCAGCACAGGTCAGGATAAGAAATATGCATCACTTATTTATTGATGACCTTAAACTAACAGAAGATATCCCAGCAATGTCAAATATCCAGATATTAAATATACAGGGAGAGAGCCCTGTAATACCCACCTAGGAAGAGCCAGGAATTTGATTCTTCAAGTTGACATTTTAAGACAGTCACTATATTTCCCTCTTTAGAATAGCTCTATGAAGTTATCAATCCAGTTGAATTTGGAAATATGGAGTAACGATTTCACAAGCATGTTGGTCTTATTTTCCAGGGTCAGGTTAAGATCTGATGGAGCAGCAATCCCTCGCCGTCGAAGTGGGGGTGACACACACAGTCCCCCAAGAGGATTTGGTCCAGGAATAGATACTCCTCCTCGAGCAGCAGCTTGTCCTAGCAGTCCTCACCTGCTGCCATTGAACAGAGGTAGGATTGAAAGCCCAGAAAAACGCAGGATGGCAACGTTTGGAAGTGCTGGCAGTATCAATTATCCAGATAGAAAGACATTGAGTGATGGCCATCAACTGAGGTCTACTTGTAGCTCAACTCGGCATAGTAGTCTTGGAGATCAGAAATCACTAGAAGCTGAAGCACTGGCAGAGGTAAGAGAAAGAGCTATGTAGAAACTGCATATTATAGAAATTTTAGATACATCAGATATTTAGTATTGTATTTTTTTAAAAAATTAAATCTATAACGGCTTGGTTTAAGGGTTATTCGTTTCTGAAGTCAAATAAACTGCATCAAGAATTTTCCAACATCAAATGTTTTATTATTCATGGTACATCCCTGTCTTTTACAATAGAAGTATTTTTTTTTCATGCCTAGTAAAATTACAGCCTTCAGAGGACGTTAAGAATATACTCCTGGTTAAGAGTAATCTCTCTAATGCCTGCATTCACTTTTCTTCTGCATCCCAGAACCTTGCTAATAAACAGATTTTTTTAGAGGGACAGGGAGAGTTGAAAGAACAGAATATGTGCTCAAGCTTTGTTTTTGTAGTCCTGATGAAAATCAATTTTGTTGTGCAACTGTGAGCCCTTAGGTGCATGTGTATGTATGTGTGTGAAGATTATGTAGTAGTATCCAGCTGAAGCTTGGTTGATCAAGCAGGATTGGACCTGGTTAATATTTGGATGGACTGATTTGATCCCTGATTTGGATCAGAAAATGCCAGTTCTATAGGTTAGACTGAGAAGTTAAAAAAAAAAACCCAACCTCTCTGAAGAAAGTACAATATCTTCATGAAGCCATCTGGAAATGAGCTAAACACAAAGGACATTCTCTCTATTTGTCACATATGTGAAAAAAACTCAAGCAACAGGCTGTGCAAATCTATTGAGGTCAAAAGGTTTTCCAGCTCAAAATATTTTCCTTATACAGTATATCAAAAGATTGCTGATTTATATCAAGGAGGAAAAATGGCAGGGAGAAATAATAACAGATAACAGATCATCAGAGTTGGAAGGGAACTTGTAGGTCATCTAGTCCAACCCGCTGCCCAAACGGGAGACTCTATACCATTTCTGACAAATGGCAGTCTAATCTCTTCTTGAAAGTCTCAACTGATGGTGCTCCCACAACTTCCATAGGGCAAGCTGTTCCATTGGTTGATTGTTCTCACGGTCAGAAAGTTTCTCCTTATTTCCAGGTTAAATCTCTCCTTGTTCAGTTTCCATCCATTATTCCTTGTCTGGCCTACAGGAGTTTTAGAAAATAGCTTGACCCCTTCCTCCCTGTGGCAGCCCCTCAAATATTGGAAGACCGCTATAATCTTTGCTGAGGGTTTTTAAAAATCTGAAATGGCAAGTATACCTTTTAGAAGATAGAATAAACATAAAATAAATGGCTATATATGCGCAGGTTCAGCTGAGTGTCTCTTTTCTTTTAGCTATATGGGTTGCTCAAAGGTTAGTGGACCTGTTGATTTTCAGGCTGACATCTTTCAACTTTTTCTGTGTGGGTTGTTGATTGAGTGGTTATGCTGTCACTTCCTAGCTTTTTTGCTTAGTACTATGACACTTTCCATTACAGAAAACCTAATGGATAGCAGTGTTCCATTTTTAAATAAAGCCATTGGTGATTTGTACATCATTGGATTTAGTTTTAGTACTGCCATTTTCTTTTTATAGGGGAAAGGGAGCCTTTCCCCCCCATTTAATTTACACAGCAGTAAGCATTTCACGCCTACGACTAGGACTCTGTCCAAAGCTCTAAAAACTGTTTAAACAAAAATTTGTAATTGTTTGTGTAGGCTGCTTCTTTTAAAGTTGGCAGGGAAGCAAGCTGAAAAGCAATTACAAATCGACCAGTTCAAAATTTTGTAATAGGTAGTGAGAACTCTAAAGAAAGGGATGATTCTTCCAACTTCTTATCTTTGTCATAAAACCTGAGGTAAAGAGCCTTTTATTAATCAGCAGGAAAAAGTACTAAAAATATACATCAGGGAGGAAAAGCACTATAATGTTAAAGAAAAAAAGGAGAGTTAGAAATGGTTAGTAAAGAATTGTGAACAATAGAGAAAAACAAACAAAAATATAATTGAAAAGAAATATGAAAAAAAAACTTCCATGTACATTTCTGTCTAAATGCGTAATAATTCCTGGAGAACAGTCAAATTTCAGATCATCCTAATGAACCCTAACCGGGTATCTTTTGATTGACAACTCTTTGGAGGCCAAAAGGCTTAGGAAGATTGGAATTAGACTATCCTGGTTAAATTTAATAGTTTCTCAGTGATATTAAATGTTGGAGTGCAACCTGATATTCATAATCTCATATAGTATTTCACTGAATTCAACTATTCCAGGGTGCAGAATCAGGCATAGTCTTGAAAAGAAATTCTGCTAAGGTTGATAGCATTTCATTCTCAGCAAGAGATGGAGTCATAAAACTATTCAAAAATGTCAGTCCTATATCAATGACCTTTCCCAAAATTATATAAAATGTATCTGAGTATTTTGTTCTAATGAATATTACAGAAATAAGAATAGTGATTCATGGTGACATACACAAAGTTAAATATCACATGTATTTGCGGGTTCTGATTTAGAAAAGACTATTCAGGAAAGAGATATTTGAGGTAGGTGTAAATGTCAACCAAGTGTGTAACTACTGTTAAATGAAAAAAAACACAGGGCAAAGATATCTGTTCCATGGCAGGAACAGTTTGGAAGGGGATTCAAAATAAAACTGCCAATCTGTAATGTTATTATAGAAATGTATGATACATTGCATTTGGAGTTCCATTTTGGCCTTCAGAAGTGAACTATGGAACAAGAAAATAATGACCAGAATGATTGACTTATTATATGCTAACTAGTTGGTGTTGACTCTAAGCGATCTCATACAGATATACATTTCTTCCACGACTATTTGCTCCTAACTTGATCTTTTGGGCTTTCCAACAGTGCGTTCTTTTCTGCTATAACTGAATCTATCTATCTTGCTGCTTGTCATTGGCATCTTCTCTTTCTTTCCACCTTCCTCAGAGACCTACATAAGTATTTGCATAATGTGTCCAAAATATGGTAATTTGAGCTTGGACATTTTTGCCTCGAGGAATTGTTCAAACCATTTGTTTGTATCCTTGGCTGTCCATAATATCCTTAGGAGTCTTTTTCAAGACTGAGCTTCAAAACATATCATCATCATCATCATCATCATCATCATCATCATCATCATCATCATCATC